ACAGCCGTTAGAGTCGCCGCCTTGGCTCAGAAATGGGAGCCCTCTAAGGTCTCTTTGCTCGCTCTCTTGCATTATCTTTATTTTGATTTCTTTTGTTGTTTCTTATGATTGATTTTTTGAGTGTAGGTTGTACCTCAGGCTGATAGAGTTCTGATTCGCCTCGAAGCGCTGCCCGAGGTCTCGCTCTCAATCTGTCTTCCTATTGTTATCATCTTTTGGAAAAAAAATGATAATTTGGGGTTTATGATATTTTGTACATTTTTATCTTTGCTAGCTATTTTAAATTGTTTGCTTATTTATAGTTAAATGTGCTGGGAGAACTTGGTTAGATTAAGAAATGCTTCAAGAACCCCTTTTGATTACCCATTCTACTCACCAGATGGTTTTTTTAAATTTTTTTAAAAAAATCCCCTATCTAGCTTCTAGAAGTGTTGTGGGTGCTCATTGGACTGTGCACAAATTGTTATAATGGCATAAGTTAAGCAATGAGTTTCTCTGGATTGAATCTCTGATATAAACCAAGTTATTGAGGGTTCCCATTTCAAAATTTTGATGCTGGTAAGGTTGATAGATAAAATGTTAAATTAGATTTATCAGAAAATAATCTCCAGTTGTAATTAGTAATTTAGCTTCTACTAGATCTCCAAGATTGATTTAGGATGCAGAAGAGATTCCCCCCCCCCCCTTCATTTATAGTGATTAATTTGATCCAATGTTGTCGATAACAGATAGCGTCACGTAGCGGTGAGGTATATGTAAGGCTATTTGAGGGCTATTGCAGCAAAATAGCGATAAAAAGTACAAAGTCAAATAACAGTCTAATTTAGATATATATAAATATTCAAAAAATAAAAAATTAAAGAAAAATCTACAAAATCTAAACGTGCATATTTAATGATTTAAAAAGATCCTAAATATGAAATAAACATGTACTCGTCACATAATACCGAAGACGACTGGAGAATGAGTCAAAAGTGTCGTCGTTTTCAAGAAGAAGAGCTGAGCGGTGAGAATACTACAGTAGGAGGAGCTTATGGTGAGAGGAGGCGAGAGGAAGTGTTGAGGGAGGTGCTGGAGCTTGTGGAAGGTGGCACGAATATACTAGAAATCGCGGGAGGCGGTGGGTGGTTGCAACTCGGGTTTTAAAAAATAAAGCTCAAACCACTTTTAAGTAGCGGTCAAAAAAATAAATTTTGCTGCAATCGCCTACTATGCTCCGCTATGGCGCGCTATTGGCCGTTTTGTGAGCGGAAAGTGCATATTCTGTAATATGTCACCATTGTTGGGCGATAGCGTAACGAGAAGGGACCACTAACGCTATTAGCGTCGTTGTGATATTTATCGCTATTTATAACTGTGATTTGTTCATGTCAAACTACATAGGACCGAACAATATTGTGGGACGTTGATGTCGACATACAACAAGGTGGAATATGTATCTCGTAACTATTAATCAAAATTAGAAGAATATTTGGAACGCTTATTTGATCTTTCATAATTCATCTACCAAGATCTACCTGAAAAATTCAAAGCTTCATCAAGAGAAAAAACCTCTTAACTAAAATTAACCCGTCACTGAAGAGGAGCAATAATAAGAGATATGTTCTCAATTTCTATTTCTCTTATGTTATTCTCTTCTTCTCATAAGGCTATATATGAACCCTATATATAGAATTAGACTTGCCTTATAAATTTTTTTAATTTCAAACAATTCTTAAATGTTCAAAACTCTTTCCATAACAATTAAAGAGAGTATTCTTTTTATAACAATTAAAGATAAAATATTCTTATCATAACATGAGATTTATTATTTATAGATGATATCTTAAATTCAGCCCCTCCATTATTATTTATTTTAGGCAACTCTTTTGAGCATGACAATTCGCCTATTTGCTCATGCCTAAATTGCAATTACCATGAACATAAATAAAAATCATTTTCAAACATCAAATTATTTTATTTTATAGGAAAATAAAATTAAAAAAATATTTTCTAAAACCACCCTCCGGTGAGAATTTAATAATTTTTTAGGAATGCATAATAAATTAACTCATCATAATGAGCATACTGGATTCTATCTTAATATTCATCATTTTCCTAAATAAAATTTAGCAACCCAGTATTTCAAGTTGTGTAGGGTTTGCTAAACAAGCTTAACCATCACATCAAGGTATCAAAATTATCAAATCAAAAATAATAATATCGTCAAGTCAAAGGGGCCATGTAACAATTTGAATATTCTGTCTCCTAGGTTACTTTTTCTAGAGAATTCAAATACCGTCTAGTGCTACACACATCACAATGTATGCTTATGACATACACTCAGGGCATCTCCATTCCCGGTGGTTGAAACCTACCACCACATCTCACATGTCGGTGTCATGCATAATAACCTGTTATAACAAAGTTATCATGTATTAGTTATAGGTTAAGCACGAATTTAAGAAATTTCTAAGTTAAGATCACATCTGCAAGCAAGTGACGTCACAGTGCATGTCTGACAAAAACAATTTCTAGGGATATATAACAATTATATAAATGAAACCCAAATTACATGTGCAACAATTAAATAATTTTATATTACAACAATATTACATAATTTGTATTGGATGTTCAAAGGTAAATTATTACTATTCCAGCAGTTTAACCACATAATTAGCATGTACAAATGCCATCTGTTTCTGGAGGTGTTTGTGTCTATAGAATAAAGTTGCACTGCACAAATGAAATTTTGGCGATAAAGAAAGTATATTTGCCTCCCAATATGGTTCCTTTCTTAATTCCCTTTTAATTATTCTGATTATTCTTAAGGTATATGAAAAAAGAGTTTGGAAGAATTATCTTACCAATGTGCTCACTCGTTACTAGTAGCATTGATAGCCGTACTCCACTTAATATTGCTGTTTGACGAACTTAGAACCTTGTCAATGATCAAACTCGTGATATATCATTTGATGTGTACATCAACACCTACACAGCTTCCATAGTTGTCATTAGAGAACTTAGTTGAGATACTGTCAGAAAGATAACTTCGTTTTTCTCATAAGCTATTTACCAACTCAAAGATTTTGTGCACAGAAATCTGCTGGTGGAGTATTGTTGCCTAAATCAGCTGTCAAATTTGAACGGTATTTGATGGGTGAGGTAAGGATGCAGGGGAATAATGTTTTATGTAAAATTATGCTGTCTGAGTGGTATTTGGATTTGATTGATGTTAATTTTCTTTCTAATAGGTTCTCTCAGTTGGTGCTGATGTTGGCGAAGTTGAAGCTGGAAAAAAGGTATGATCAAGTACTTGCAGCAGTATCTGAATCTTATTGTAATCTTATATTATAGAAAGTGTACATGTGATTAGACGCTCTTTTCTTTTGGGTAATTACATCACATCTGAATGGCTGTAGCCCAGTAGACAGAAAATTTGCATAAAGGAAGATAGTAAAGGGGGTAGATATTGAGATAACAACTTGTCGGTTGACACGTCATTAGTGGCCCTACTGAATGTAATCATTTCGGATAACTGAAGCATATAAAAATCTCTTATTTAGTTCTTACCTAAAAATTGTAAAGATACTGAATGTTATTTGATGGCCCCGTGTTAGTTTGTAATAATGTCAGGCTGGAGCTTGAGACATTATTCTGAACTAAATTGGTTACGATTGGACCTTTGCAGATGTTAAAGACTTACCCCGATTATTATATTCAAATGGGTCAACTAATAACGTTGCATGCATGAGATCCCTCGTTTAATAACCTGTTCCAACATGCTTATGATTTGTTTAAATTAGGTAGCTTGAGCTTAAATAATTTTTTGACTGAAAAACATTATCAAAATCTGGTCCGAAGTAGGCAGGAATTTCTTTTTTCAAAGCAAAGCTTGAGCATGTCTAGTTTCGAACGAGCCTTCGTTCATTCGCCATCCCTTTGTGCACACTTGATACTGTGTGTTTCAAGGATTTATTTCCTGACACTAGTTAAACTGCAAGAATATGTGGATTATGCTAGATTTGAGTGGCACAGTTATATATCTAGACCTTCGAGCTTCCTTTATGTTTGTTTTTATCAACTCAGGTTGAAGTATGGAGTTTTATTTTAGGGTTTTCCAGGGTCTGGTAACTGATGATTTTAGTAAGTCCTTCTGAATGTTGCTAATGATTTCATCAAATACATTTCAAGCGTTTCTCTTCGGACCTCTTATTGTGTTACTTAGATTGGGTGTAAGAGAAACTGCATATAATTCTCAAGTGCCTGCCTTTGTTCAAGGTTCTGTAAGGTTTATATTGATGGGCTTTGTTTTACTTGCAGGTTCTATTCTCAGATATCAATGCCTATGAGGTAAGCTTAAGTTGCTACAAAGTAATGCGAAGAGAAGTGCCCACCATTGTCACTCACAAAAGAGCATTTCATACGTTTTTACGTTGTTGAATGTGCAAAATCCCCTTTAGGCAAAATGCCCCTCATCCTAACTTGCATATGCTTCAAGTTTATCATAGAAATAGAAACTTTCCAACTTTGTTTAACCTTCCTACTTCATAAGGGCCACGTAAGAACGTGAGAAAATGAATTAGCTATAATTTATTTATTCTCCAAACTTAACTGTAGCCTAATATTTGGATTTCAACTGACTGGGACAAGTGATTGTGGTACAAACATCTCTAAGCTTATGTTCTTTGACAAATCCTCGTAGATGAATAAAGCCTGATATGTGTCGTTATTTTCTCGCGCAGATTGATTTGGGGACAGACGACAAGCATTGCTTTTGCAAAGCAAGTGAACTCTTGGCTGTTGTTGAGTAGGGTCAGTTCATAATCTCACCCAAAGCGGGAGCTTCTACTGAATCATTTGATAGTGGATGCGACTTTAGTTACGTGATGAAGTATGAAATGTTATTAGCAAGTTTTGTGGTGTTATCTGTCTTATTGTACTTTCTATTGTTGCGACACAAATTTTGACACTTGAATGATCTCTGAACATGGGAGGTTATCTATGCATCAAGGTGAAAAAGTTCGATCGCGTGACTGCAAATTCTTTTTTTTTTTTTTGCCTTTTTCCTGAAAGCACCTGAGTTATGGGTGAGGAGATAGTCTTGCTATTTGCGTTTTCATTTTGTCACTAATATGTGGATCAACTTATGTTGTAATTACATGGGTGGTTCTCAAAGTGCTATGGAATCTGTTTATTTTTTTCCTTCTCATGATATAATCAGGAACCTCAGGTTATTTGTATAGATATGTAGGGCTCAGTCGTGTAATTATACTATAGCTCAGGATATCTGAACGTAATTAATCCTTAATATGTTGCAGTGATCGGCAAAGGCTTGCGTCTGAGAGTTTCAGTATCTTCTCTTATTAATTTTTCATAATAGCATCTGAGAGATTCAGTGTCTTCTCTTATTAATTTTTCTTAATAGCTTTTTCAATGTTTGAGGATTTTCTCAGCGCCTTTTTTCTTTTAAATAAGAGTGAAAAACCTTTTGGCCATCTTTAAATCGCTTCAGCTCTGTTATATGTCTCGAAAAAATTATTCATCTTTAGTTTTTCCAGCGTTTGAGGATTTTTTTTTTTGAGTCTGTTTATTTCTTTGCATGATTTTAACAAATTATGATAAAGACCAAATTCTTATGCCACTTGTGAAGATTTTTCATATAATTTTTTAACACACGATTTGGTTTCTAGTTTCATCCTTTTTCATCTTAAAAATTCAATAAATAAATAAATAATTAAAAACGTACATGGATCTCCACCTTTATGGTTTCTGTGTGAGGAAGTTTAGGTGGTGTTTGTTTCACAAAAAAAATTGGCATTTGGTATGGATTACAAGTATTAGGATTAAAAAGTGGGTTTTTTTATTTTGGGATTCCATATATGGTGTTTGTTTTAAGAAATTTTTTAGAATATTGAATCCCAAAAGTAAAAAAAGTACCCAATTTTTAGAATTTGTTAAATCCTCTCAATTAGAGATGATTTTGACAAATCCCATAAACGAGTGTGCTTACATCTCAATTGGAGAGCATTTGAGAAATCCTAATTTTGTCTTTTTGTGGGAGGCAACCTCACCAAGATAGCATATTTATCATATTACAAAATTTTAGCATTTGGTAATGCTACAATTTGAGCTTGAAACAAATAAAATATTACAAATTGTAGTATTTTAAATCCTAAAATATTAATGAAACAAACAACATTTTAGAAATCCAACCCATAACAAAACATCTATAGATTTCAAATCCCATGGTGAAATTTATATCCTAAAATTATAGGATTTGAAACAAACACCATCTTAGGGGGTGTTTGGTTGCATTGTTTTTGAGAAATGTTTTCTCAAAAGTACTGACGCATGGCATTTATGTAATTAAGAGTTTTCTATACATTTCTATAAACTGTGTTTGACTCCAAAAAAATTTACAGAAATGTTTTCTGTAAAGTGTCCAAAAGTACCAAATTTTATGGAAATTGATTTCCTTCTAAAATGGGAGGAAATCTCTTGGAAATCTGACGTATTCATTATTTAAATATTAAAACTCATTAACTCTTTTCTACAAAGTTCTCACTTTTCTATAAAGTTGGTGGTGTTTGGTTACATTTCTATAAATTATAGGAAATGTTGCTATTTTTCCAAAAGTTATTTCTCATTTTCTTGTTTTGAACCAAACAAGCACAATACAAAAAATAAGAAAATTTGTACTTTTTAACTTCTCAAAACTTTTCCTATAATTTTTTTAAGAAATACAAGGAAATCAAATTTGGGATGGAAAACATTTCCTATAATTTATAGAAATGTAACCAAACACCCCCTTAGTGGATTACCATTGCTAAGCATCTACAAGGGCACCTCCAACAAGCTCCCACCCCACCTCCTAAGGTTGAAGTGGCAATGAGAGCTTGTTGGAGGTGTTGGTGCTCCAATAAGCTCTTAGGTGGCTTCCTTAGGCTGATGTGGCCAACGGGTAGGAAGTGGGGCTTAGTGGAGCTTCCAAGCACTCCACAAATTTGTGGAGCGCTTGAGAGCTCTCAGGAAATAATTTTTTTTTACACAAACACCCCTATCTAGCCAGCAGCTACACTATGTTGTTCTTTGAGCAAAAGAAAAGTTTGGAAATAGCCGTTGAGATAAAAAAAATAAAAATGAACAGTAAAAAATTCTGTAAATTATCAATTCACTACACAAATCATTTCGCACAATTCTCTCATAAAAAAACGCTATATTTCCTTATCAAATTACAACTCTCTCATCGAAAACTATGTCCAATGTTTAGGAATCAAATAAAAGAGGTTTAAATATAATTAAAAGTAATGGGTAACAAAAATAAAATAGAAAAGGGTTTTTTTTTATATTGTTGGAGCTTCTAACTAGGAGTTTGTTGAAGATCGACATTAGTTAGAAGGCCTCACATGTGATATGACATTGAAAACGGTGGGCCATGGTTTTGAGAGGTCTTGAGAGCTCTCCAACAAAGACTACCAACTAGGTCCGTGTTGGAGATGCTCTGAAACTAAAGGTTCATGAAAAAAAAGTCTTTCACTGGGAAGAAAATTTTCTGACGTGTTGATAATAGTGTATTGTAGTGGGTTTTAGTCCCACATTGCTTGGGAGAACAAACCTCACACTCCTCTACTTGTATAAATATATGTGCACACTCAATATTCAATTCAAGGGAAATTTACCCAAGATTCTCTCTCTCTCTCTTACTTTAACATGGTATCAGAGCTAGGGCTATTTCCCTTTCAATAAAATTTTTTAACGCTTTTGCGTTCTTTTGCCAAATCTTGGCCTTATTGCTTTGCAGCCGTTTAATGTTTTATTTTTTTTATTTTTATTTTTAATTATTTGGCGTTCATCTGCCAGATATTTTGGCCTTGTCGTTTTGCGGCTTCTTAACGCGTTTCGCGTTCTCGTTTAACCTTCGGGTTCTATTTTAAACCTTCGGGTTTCATTCTAACATTCGGGTTCTATTTTAAACCTTCGGGTTTCATTCTAACCTTCGGGTTCTATTTTAAACCTTCGGGTTTCATTCTAACCTTCGGGTTCTATTTTAACGGCATTGTCGTTTCAAGACCGTCTCTCGGTCTCAAATTAACGGCATCGTCGTTTCAAGCCGTCTCTCGGCCTCAAACGAACGACATTAGTAACAGCATCTCGACATCTTAACGTCTCAAGATTGCTGTTATGGCTCCTTCAGAGAAGATTCCCAAACCACCTTTGCCCCTCAATGATCAAAGTGACTGGGCAGGGTGGTCCACCATTGTCACCAATGCCTTGCGTGGCGCTGGTTTGCTTGATCATCTCACCAGTACGGGACCAGTTCCACCGTCCATCAGCACTGTTGCTTCATCCAGTACTATTGCCTCTGGCAGTGGTGATGTCGATCTTCAGACTGCTCGTGCTCTCTATGTCAAGGAGAGTTCAGAGTGGCAATTGCAGGAATTTCGTGTTATGGATTATCTCACTCGCTGTGTTGGCTCTGGTCTCACTGTCGAGATTGGCTCGCTTCCCTCTGCTCAGGCCATGTGGACTCGTCTCACTGAGCGTTTCACTGAGTGCTCGGGTGCACGGGAGGCATATCTTCTGCAACGCATTTCTCTACAACGCAAAGGTAGTTCATCTCTGCAGTCCCATTTTGGACAAATGCAAGCTTTTTGGACAGAGTTACGCTCCATGCTTCCTGGACGTAATTCCACATATGAAGACTGGCTAGCCTGGTACGAACGGCATGAGGTGCATCAATTGTTTCAGTCCCTTCCTGAATATTCAACTATGGCTGATCAACTACTTCACCAGCCTCAATTTCCGACTTTGGCCTCAGTTATGGGAGCTCTCACTGCTTATGAGACCCGGCAGCAGACAGCACGACTCAATTTGTCAACAGACACTCCTACCTCTTCACTCGAGACTGTTTTGTCTGTACCTGTCACTGCTCCTGTTATGAATTATACTTCTCCACAGGCTCCCTCTCCACAGGCTCGATCTAAGCTCTCTTGCAAATATTGTAAGAAGGAAGGACACCGCATTGAGACATGCTTCAAGCTTCATCCTGAGTTACGTTCCTCAGGTACTGGACGTGGTCGGCGACCCCCTCAGTCTCAACCCTCTCGTACACCAGGATTGTTGGCCAATGCTATACCTTCTACTACTTCAGACTCTACTATTCAAGCTATTGAAAGTCTTCGCCGTCAACTTGATGCTTTTCAACATATCACCTCTACATCCGCCGCACAACTCTCTGGTATGCATTTTGCTGGTTCTTCAGCTAATCCTTCAGTCTCTGGTATGAATGATCTCTGGATTTTTGACTCTGGTTGTTCCTTTCATATGACTTGTAATGCCTCACTTTTATCCTCTGTCTTTACTTCATCCTCTCTTCCTCCTATCTACACAGCTGCTGGACAACCATTGTCCATTACTCAGTATGGCTCTATTACCCCACAAAATGATCCATCTGGTCGTCTAACACTTGGTCCCGTCTATGTGGCTCCACAATTGTGCTTGAATTTAATTTCTATTAGCTCTTTATGCATGGCGGGCCTGTTTGTCTCATTTTCTTCTGATACTTGTATTGTGCAGGATCCACAGACGGGCAAGACGGTTGGGGCGGGTCGTAGGAGGCACAAACTGTATTTTCTGGAATATCTTCACCTTCCAGAGTCCATACGTCCACGTTCTCTTGTTGCTTCTCTTTGTTCGTCAAAACCCTCTACCTCGCTTCCTGCCAATTTATGGCATAGACGACTTGGTCATGTGTGTAATAAAAGGCTGGAGAGTCTTATTCAGTCTGGAGTACTTGGTCCTGTATCATCTAGTTCTAGTATTGAGTCATGTGCTGGTTGCAAATTGGCTAAATTCACTGCTTTACCATTTAAAATGAGTACATCTGTATCCACTTCCTTATTTGATTTAGTACATTCTGATATTTGGGGGCCAGCTCCTTTGCCTTCTTCATCTGGCTACTTATATTATGTTAGTTTTATCGACGATTTCTCTCGTTTTACATGGGTTTACCTACTTAAGAATCGCTCTGACGTACTTACTGCTTATCAAGCCTTCACTGCTATGATTTTCACTCAATGGCAATCTCGTATTAAAGTTTTTCGTTCTGATTGTGCCAAAGAGTACCTATCCTCTGCCATGCGCTCTATCATGTCCTCTCATGGGACTATCTTTCAACAGTCATGTCCCTACACTCATGAGCAAAATGGTGTTGCTGAACGCAAACATCGTCATATCCTCGATACTGCCCGATCAATGCTCATTTCTTACTCTGTTCCTCGTCGTTTCTGGGCTGAGGCTATTCTCACCGCGACTCATGCCATTAATATCACTCCATCTAGCTCTCTTTCCGGTGCTACTCCTTATAGTCGTGTTTATACTCATCCTCCCCGTTATGATCTAGTTCGCGTTTTTGGTTGTCGATGTTTTGTTTTTCTGCCATCTCACGAACGTGATAAATTGTCTCCCAGAGCAGTTTCTTGTGTTTATTTAGGAATTAGTTCAGAACATCGAGGTTATCGTTGTTATGATCCCGCAACTCGTCGAGTTCATATATCTCGTCATGTTCAGTTCGAAGAGGATTCTCCATATTATTCTACTTCTGATGACTTTAATTTCCTCCACTCTACCGATCATGCTTCCCCGTCCACTGCATCACCCACTTCTTCACCTCAATTTTCCTTTCGAGATCTCCCTGACATCTCTCCCTCTCCTTCTGTTGACTCTTCCTCACCTGAGTCTTCTCTTACACCATCTAATCCATATCCTGTGGACACAACTCTCACTCCAGAAAATACTGTTGATCTTCATGCACCTGCGCCAGCATCTCCCCCGCCTGAGGTTCCTCTTGCTCTTCGTCGAGGCAAACGCCCACATGTCATGCCTGCCCGGTATGCTTCTGTTACTTCTTATTCACCTATCTTTCATAACTTTCTTGCTGCCATTCATACTATTGTTGAGCCAAAGTCCTTCCAAGAGGCAGTTCAAATTCCAGAGTGGCGACAAGCTATGGCTGAGGAATTTCAAGCATTTCAGCAAACTCATACCTGGGATATTGTTCCCTGTCCTCCTGGGATCTCTCTTGTTGGCAGTAAATGGGTTTATAAGGTCAAGTTTCGTCCTGATGGCACCATTGAACGTCGAAAAGCTCGTTTAGTGGCTAGAGGTTTTACTCAGCAACAAGGTATTGATTATGAGGAGACCTTTGCTCCTGTTGCTCAGATGCCCACTGTGCGTACTCTCCTTGCGGTCGCTGCTGCTCATCGTTGGCCCTTATACCAGATGGATGTCAAAAATGCTTTTCTTCATGGCTCTTTATCAGAGACCGTATATATGCAACCGCCTCCAGGGTCAAATATTCCTCCGGGACATGTATGTCTCCTTCGTCGTGCTGTTTATGGTCTCAAACAGGCACCCCGCGCTTGGTTTGAGTGTTTTCGCGATGTTGTGCTCAAAGCGGGCTTTATAGAAAGTCATCAAGATGCTTCTCTGTTTGTTCGCACTACATCGCGTGGCAGGGTTTTATTACTCATCTATGTAGATGATATGATCATTACAGGTGATGATATGACAGGTATACAATACGCAAAATCTCAGTTGCAACAACAGTTCCACATGAAGGATCTTGGATCTCTTCGGTATTTCCTTGGTCTAGAAATTTCTCAAGGCCCGCGGGGTGTATTACTGTCTCAACAGAAGTATCTCTCAGATATTCTAAATCAAGCTGAGTTAACTGATAATACAACTGTCGATACTCCACTCCAGCAGAATGTCAAACTTTGCTCTACTGACGGTGAGCCTCTATCTGATCCTACCCGATATCGACATCTTGTTGGTCAGTTGGTCTATTTGTGCATCTCTCGACCAGATATCTCTCATGCTGTTGGTATTGTCAGTCAATTTGTTAGTGCCCCACGTTCTGTACACTATGCTGTCTTATTACGGATTCTTCGGTACCTCCGGGGTACTAGCACTCGCTCACTTTTGTTTCCTGCTACATCTAAGTTAGAGCTTTGTGCATATTCTGATGCTGATTGGGCTGGTGATCCAACTACCAGAAAGTCTACCACAGGTTATTGTATATTTCTTGGTGATTCCCTTATTTCCTGGCGAAGTAAGAAACAAGATGTTATTGCTCTTTCCAGTACTGAGGCAGAGTATCGTGCAATGTCCACAACAGCTAAAGAGATTATTCATCTTCGTCGCCTTCTCAGTGATTTCGGTATTTCTGTTACGACTCCTACTCCTCTCTACTGTGATAATAAGAGTGCCATCCAGATTGCTAATAATCCAGTATTTCATGAAAGGACCAAACATATTGAGATCGACGCTCATTTTGTCCGTCACCAAGTTATCAAGGACAAGACAATTCTACTTCCTCATGTTTCATCCGCTGACGAGCTTGCAGATTTCTTCACAAAGGCCTTACCTGTTCATCGGTTCCAGTTTCTTGTACGCAAACTCACTTTGTTTGATCCAACATGAGTTTGAAGGGGGCTGTTGATAATAGTGTATTGTAGTGGGTTTTAGTCCCACATTGCTTGGGAGAACAAACCTCACACTCCTCTACTTGTATAAATATATGTGCACACTCAATATTCAATTCAAGGGAAATTTACCCAAGATTCTCTCTCTCTCTCTTACTTTAACATGACGAAATTAAGAAAGCATTCCTATTTATTTTCACATTGATATCCTAGGGTTTACCCTTTTTACATTTTGATGCCGTAAGTGTTTTTTCAACAATTTGATACCCCAAGTTTCAACCCTAATCCATTTGATGCTCTTCTATACATGTTATTAGCTTTTTTGATAACTTAACATCACGTGCTTTCTGTTGAGCATGCAAATATCCCGTTCGCTACTACCGGCAACTTTTGATCGCTTGTATCCTTGACATTTGGTTAAAATGCGCCTCAATGCAACACAAGTATAACAAATAATAATAATAATAACGAAATTTGGACTAAGGCATCCAAATGAAATGAAATTAGAATCTTGGGCATTAAAGCGATTAAAATAAATGTTACGGAGTATTAAAGTGCAAAAGAGGTAAAACTTTTGGGTGGCAAATTGAAAATAAGCCTAACTTCGTCATTAGGATATTTCACTATATGTCCCAAAAATATACCTTTCTTGATCTTAAGTCCAAACCGACTTATAAAAGCCCACTCCAATAGTCTCCATTTTTAATTTTCCTCTTAATTAATTATTACCCCTCCATCGAACTCTGTTAAAAACCTCTCTAGGGTTTCGTCGTCTCTTCGTTCATCTCCTTCAATCGCCATGGCCGCTGAACAAAACCCTAGCAACTCCTCCAACGCCGAGCAGGCCGGCGCCAAACCGCCGGCGAAGGATCTCAAGAAGAAGAAAGACGAGAAAAAAGAGGAAGATCTGGTGAGTAATCGATCCCTTCTCTTGAAAGATTTTCATCTTTTTGTCTTCTCGTTTCTGTGCGTCCTTATCAATTTTGGATCTGTGGTCTCTTTTTCAGTCGGATGAGGATTTGGCTTTGAGGCAGCAGTTGGAGCTGTATGTTGAGCGAGTTCAGGATTCGGATCCTGGGGTTCAGAAGCTGGCTCTTGAGAGTATGAGGTATTTTTTCCCCATGAATGAGTTCTAGGGTTTCTAAATTTGGCAATTTTTCTTTCTAAGCCCTAACTGCATTTTGTTGAAGTAAGGATTATGTTTAATACCGATAGTTTCTAAGGATTATTGTTGAACTTAATTAAAGAGATCGTAATTATTCGTGCCTCTTTCATTACTTGTTGGTTGGGAAAGTTAGATTTACAATACCGGGAAATAATAAAGCTGATTGTTATAGGGTGCATTTTGATAATTTCACAACAATTGATGTTTTAGTATTTAGATTTTGAGTTATCATGTTTTCAGAAATACAATTCACTAACTGTTCGTTTGAAGTTGTTAAGCTATAATAGGTTAACCTAGCATAGCATCGTGGTACGATAGTGGTTAACTTAACAAAGGAGGTGACCCAAAGTAGAACGGAATGGAAGAATAGGATTCATGTGGCCGACTTTAAACATTTGTGATAAGTGCTTTGTTGTTTTTGTTGTTCCTGTATAGACGAGTGATGCAACAAATTCAAAAAAATTTCGAACACATTATCTCACAACTCACATACAAAAACTAATAATTACGATCTCTTTAATTAAAGGCGGCAGTAGTTGCACACATACAAACACACACCAAAACCATTTAATTTGTTGAACGTGAACTGAAACAGGTTATGTTTTTCTCTGGAATATGAGTTGACCAGGTACAATATTAGGATTTATAAAAGTGGACATATCGGGTATCACATCACAGGCTTAATATACTAAGAGATTATACTGGCACTACTTGTTACCACAGTGGAGGAATTGAAGTTTGACATATTTCATCAATGCAATAAGGTTTATACTATTCGTTGCTAGAGTCTCTTTAGTTGCATCAACTCCCATCCGTGTCCTCTTCCACTTCATCAAATTAATCATGGAATGTCAATTCCAGTGCACCTGGTAGGTTTCTATCAAGTCAGATGCATTTCGAATTACTACAATACTTCTCTCCATTTATTTGAACATCATTTATGTCATAGTTACCATATCATCTATTGGAAGGTAAGGTTGCCTCCTAGATGATCTTTTAACTACGTAATAATTTCTAGGGGATTATTAATATCTTGTTCTTTTTTTCTTCTTTTTTTCTTTTCTTTTTTAGGCAAACTTTTTCTTTGATTGTTAGCTTCTGAGAGCTAGTTATTAACGTGGATGTAATTATCTGTTTTTTGTTTGAACTTTAAATTGCCAAGTTAAGTCTTAGAGAGGGGAAGTAGGTAGGAGAAGATTGTGGGTGCGTGAAGAGATGTTTTTGACCCATAATTTGGTAGATTCTATGAATGATAATTCATTTAGCTTGAGAGTCACTTCCACTTTACACTGCAAAGTAACTCAAGTTCATTATGGAACTCAAACCCCTCATTTCAAACAAACAAATAGTGGACTTGGGAAAACATACTACTGTAATTCGTGGAATACAACCCTTGCTGTCCTTCACATCATTCTCGATTTCATGAATTCCATAATTTCATTATTCTACAAGGAGAGTGAGTAACCAACTTGTCTAAAGTTCGAAGCTTGGGTCTATCTTTATGCTTTTCTTGATTGACACTTGATCTCAGTTGTTGATGGAGTTGTGTTTCATCAGGCAGGAAATCCGTACCTCAACTAGCTCAATGACGTCTGTTCCTAAACCTCTGAAGTTCCTCCGTCCCCACTATGGGACTCTTAAAGCATATTTTGAAACTATGGCAGAATCTGACTTAAAGGTACATGGTGTTTTAGTCTGAAATTTGGTGTGATATAATTACTTGGTAATCACTAATCATCTGTCTTTAATTGCAGAAATACCTTGCAGACATATTATCTGTGTTGGCATTGACCATGTCCGCTGAAGGGGAAAGGGTATATGTCCTGAATCTTCTCTAGAGTTATGATTGTTATTTATTATTAGGCTTGAGAGAAGTGAATTTGGTTTATATTGATTACTATGAATGTAATGAAAAACAAAGTTACATTTGTTGGACTTTTCCATCTATTTAGTGACATTGTTAACAGCTTCATGAGGTATCCACATAGAACACGACAAACTTGTGCAGGCATAATACATCAGACATCTGAGCGTGTTGCATTTTCTTTCTATTTATATCTCAACTCAATTTGTTTTTCATGCCTCTTTCAGGAGAGCCTGAAATACAGGTTACTGGGTTCTGAGGGCGATATTGGTTCCTGGGGTCATGAATATGTGCGGTAAGCATCTCCTCCCAATTTTTATCTGCATTGCACATTGTTTGTTATTAAAGCACTTCTCATATCTTCTAAAAAAAGGGAAAAAAGAAAAGAAAAAAGAAACTATCATAATATTTGAAATACTTCTATTTTTTGGTTATAAGTAGTGAGGCATACTTAAGAATTGAGTGATAATTAAAACTATTTATTTGGAAGGGGGTTGTAACATACTATCTGTTGCAGTCAATGTTGAAAATAACGAAAATGAGTTGTGTAACGCTTGGCCTCCCGTTAAGGGTTAAGGAAAAAGCGAAAAAAATGTAATGCATAACGTAGGTTATATTGTTGATTAATTATTTAGATATTTATACTAACAATTCATAATAACTTTAATACTTAGAGTCGTCAAATTTTTCAAACATAACATCACAATTATCAAATATAAAAGTACAATATCACAATTTCTTGACAAAAGCTAGTCATATATGACTAACAATCATTCCAAAAAGCATCATAAAATGATCAAATACGTTAACCTTGTCAAGTTTAAAGCAATAAGAACAAGTCTAAAACCTTCTAACTCTTTGAGTTTTTAACTTCACAAAAATATTCTAATTCCCGATCAAGTTCACTACATCAACCAAACTGAACGTGATTATGTAACAACAGTAAGAAATTTGGCATATACAGAGATTGCGCGTGAACTTAATTTTACAAACTCTAGTATTAACTAAAAACTAAAAACTAAAACCTAATCAAGATCAAGTAATAGCTGAAAATAATTATCTAACCAACACAATTAACCCACTAATTAATCTCGGTACTATAATTGTGTAACAGATCTTAAAAAATTATGTAGAACGATAGAGTAATGGAGCAACAAGTTCGATATGATAGCAAATTGTCAATATAAAAGATAGGAATTTAGAAGATAATTTCAGAATCACTATTTATTTAAAGGATATAAACTGAGATGCCCGATACATAACTGAAAAATAAAAAAATTACTTCATCGGAGTCACAAAAGCTGCCAATAGCCGGAGGAGTTTCAGAGGAGCAAAGAGCTAGGGTTTGGATTGGAGGAGGCGAAGAGATTGCATATTTGCAGGAAGAGAATAGGATCATGGGATTAAAAGGGGTAGGGTTTAAGTGATTTGGACGGTGGATATGCATCAACGCGTTGCAATCTAACCTAAAAAACCTATGTTAACTGGTTATACAATGTAACACACATTTAACGCAATATAACATGTTTTTCTGGGTTAAGCAGTTTCATGATTAAATGGGTGTGTTACCTAACAAGAGGGCACCATCAAGTTACAAAAACAGGATATAACGGGTTATATAACGAGTTTTGTAAACACTGGCTGCAGTTAATAATCCACTAGAGAGCAAGCTTATGGCTTCTAGTATAATTTCTGGGATAAGCCACCGTCTGTTGTTAAGCTTGGTGTAGCTGATACTAGCAATGTGGTGATAAATTGTTATTTCTTTTGCTTTATTTAAACAATAAACAATATGCAATAAATTGTGAAGTTGCTTTTAATTTACTTTCTATATATACTTGTAACTAACTGTATACGAGTTTAAAGCAAGGTCAGCTGGCTTTTTTCTACATTTTGACATTTTCTGCAGGAGTTATCTTATAGCACTAATGAATGTTTTTCCGTATTATATATTATACAGACTGAATTGTTGCTTACTAGTTTTCATTTGACAATCGACCGTCAACATTGTGGTCATCATTCTCAGTTTCGTATCTGAAAAAACAATGAGTATGTCCCTTTGCGTTACAAATGGAAATATATGTTAAAATATATATATAATTTGAGCTAGTGATTACTGTAGCTGGAGGAAGGATTTTGAAATTGATGAATTGCAATACCTTCAATTTGAGGGTAGTTGGTTTTTTTTTGCGGTGGGGTGGGGTCGGGTTGGGTGTGGGGGGTGGAGGGTTGCAACTTCCAAATTAGGTATATTGGCTGCAGTATGCTGCAATTGAGACTATCTATGTGCTGCTCTTTTCTGAATGATAAATGGGTCTCTTAATGTCATGGTTGATCCGCTAAACTAAATAGAGAGGGGATTTGGCCTTCTTTCATTATTCTTTTCGAAAAGCTATAGCTGTAGGTGGTGAGACTGATGACAACAGTAGATGAAACTTGTGATGAGCTCAGTGTGACAGTGTTGAGCTGCTGCAGGCACTGTGCAGTCAACCCTTTCCCCTAGATCCAATTCTCTTAAAAGGAAGTCTTTTTCTTCTCACTATTTTCTTCTCCTTTCCTTCTCTCTTCTATACTTCTCTTTTTGCGAGTTTTCTGCGGTTTTTTTTCTTCTTCCTTTTAGTTTATTCATTAAGTTGTAGACTTGTGTGAAAGCAGAGAAGCAGTGCAGAATAAGTACTTATTGTTATTATTATTTCACCTGTTTAACCCCAACTTGCGAGGGGTTTAGCAATCAGACTGTAATTTTGTTTGTTTCATGCGCACTTGCCCAGTAAGTCATATCTCAAAAAGACCTACAACTCTCCTTATCTAGATTAGCTAAGTAATACCCTTAATTACGTCCTCTAACCTTGAAAGGTGAATTTTTTTTAAAACAACAGTATATCACAATCAAATGAATAAACATGTAGAATGTGCTTCCTGCAAAACTGTGGTCCCACGTCCACAGAACAACTTAATGCAGAGCAATTGTCGTTAAAATCTATGCTGTTGCACAGTTCAATATTCTTGTGTGTAATATGTGTAAAGAACTTTCTCTTGTAATGAGTGAGTACTGAGCCACAACATTAATTCTTTTAATGCATGAACATTCTTTTCCTTTCCCCTTTCTTTTGAGGAATCAGTATAGCCTTTGTGGATGTTGTTCTGAACGCACGGGATTTGAATTGAGACCAACCTCATCTTAGAGAGCCCCCTCTTCTGCAATTTCCTTGTTTTCTTAATTCTCCTATCAGTCCAGAGAATTTCAAGTTCTTTTATTATTCTAGCTATTAAGAAACTGTTGTATCTATTAAGAAACTGTTGTATCTTGAGACATAAGTACTTATTTTAATCATGCATGTGCTTCATCATCCATTTCCTTGCACATTTTTAATCATACATTTCTTACATATATATCCTCGTAATATTTTGTTCTGCACCCAGTAGAGAGTATAACACAAACTTACATGATATAGTCGGAAAATCTCGAATATTTCATCAGGGAAGTACTAATGTTAAGAACTAGTTACAAAATAAGTATGAAGCCTTGTTCAACTTTTCGATGAGTATCTTCTGTGTTGTGAATATTTGATCACATTGATGAAAATATGAAATATTGTATATACATTTCACCTTTCTAATATTGAAATATTGATATATTAGGAACCTTGCTGGAGAAATTTCACAAGAGTTTGCAAAGCGTCAGGTTTGTTTAAAGCTTTTGGATATTTTTTGAAATTCCGTTCTAATTGTACGCATTTAACAGATGGGACAGAGCTTTATGTTACTCAATTGGTTTCGTGACTATGAAGCTCGAACACTTGGCAGTCGTTCTGCTTTTTTTTGTCCAATATGTATTGGACATTGAGAATTGCAGGACACTTAATGCATATTTTACAAATGGAGCTTCATTGAACTCTATTCATATTTTCCACGTGTAACTTACATATTATTCTCACGTCCCTTGATATTCAGATGCATATTCTACATTTTTTGCTTCATATTAAACACTTGAACTTAATATTTTGCTTGTTTCTAGTTCCTTAGAAGTCATTTTCCAGAAACACTTTGTTAGAAGGGCAAGTTTCACACTTAATTATAATACCACGGGTTGTTTAAACGCTTGAAGTTTTAGACAAATTGAAAATGTTTAAAGACAATGACATGTATTTCTGATTCTTTCAGTCACTTGGACGCCAGACAGACGACTGTGATATGTCAAGTGCACTTAAATTTTTTTTTATCTCGAGTAGACATTTGTTAAGTTTTCATCTTTTTTTGAGAATGGTATGTAAATCTTTTGTATTTGTCCAACCTGACGAACTCTTTGTTGACTTTTTCCTCTAACCTGCGTAGTCTGTACATTTTCCTGATTTGATAAACTTTTATTGACATTCTTATTTGCATCCAGTAACTCAATGACTATTCATGTACTTGGGTACGAGGCATCTAAGAAATTTCAGGATTCGAGATATTTATAAATCACAATATTGAGATCTGCCATGGTGTTAATCCTGGTAGGATGTATTTTTTAGCTCCAAAGAGCGTGAAAGATGAATATCTGATGTACATGCTTTAGCTTGTTTGTCATGGTTGATCTAATTTATAACTTATTTTTTACAAAGAGAAGATGTACATTTCACCACTAATGTTTTAGAGATGATGTGTTATATAGACTAGCCAACATACATCCAGAAAGAAGTGCAAATAATTTAGTTCCATATTCCATTCTTCATGGTATTTATTCCAAATAGGTTGTGTCAGTGTCTGTGAACTCCAGATATCTGAATTGCGTATGCTGATCACCTTTCTTCTTCTTCTTAAAAGCAGTATGATGACATGCCCATAGATGCTTTGATGGAGCTTGTGCAACAGATTGTTGCGTTTCACATGAAGGTACAGCCTTCTTCTGGGTCTCAATTGCTTTTAACTTCATCTTTATCAAGTTTGATAATCTTGTTAGTTTTTATAGTCATTAGCCATTCAATTGGCATAATTAGGCCAGCCGGTTGATGATTCATTTATTAATGGTTTGTTAAATATGTGCAGCATAATGCAGAGCCAGAAGCTGTAGATCTTTTAATGGAGGTAAGTACATGCTTTTTTGTTCATTTTTATGTAAATTCAGCTGCATATATTGAACTTATTTTATACCATTGCAGGTTGAAGACCTTGATTTGCTAGTTGAGCATGTAGACAAAACAAACTACAAGAGGACTTGCTTGTATCTTATAAGCTCTTCTAGGTATGTGATGACACATATTCTCAAATTGGGCGTTATTTTTTCTCTCTTACTATTACCTGCTTTGCTTATAGAAGGGTCCGGTTGAACTGTGTAGTTTATTAATTTTTGGCAATGTTGCTCTTCTGACTTTTGACCTGCACATTAAAATATTGAATCAGTAAAATGTATCTTCACCTTTAAAGTATAGAACAAATCCTGGATCTGTTCACTGCAGGGATGTCTATGTTGCTTGATAAATAAGTGCATGATCATCTGGATGTTATTATTTCTTAGAGGGATGCTGGATAAGGTACCAGACTAGATTTGTGCATCTGAAACAACACAGTATCATTCTGTTCCTTGGCTATAACCAATAATTACTGTTTTAAGAATTTTATAAATATAAACTTTCTGATTTTCTTATCTTATGCTTTAAACTAAAGACTAAAAGGTAATGCTTACATGGAGCTTTTCTTGAAGGGAGACCTTTTGTTGAAAAGCTGTGGAATTTCAGTTGAGAAATTGTTTTGAGTATTCACAGTTGAATTATATGTCCCGTCATGAATTGGATCTACGTACTGCATATGCAGACTTTTTGTGCTGAGACTACATGTGACTTCCTGAAGCCTGTGAAATGTGTTGGAATAATGATTGTTCTTTTGCATGAACCTTGATAAGTACTAAACGTGTAATAAAAGCTTTACATCCATCTTGATAGGGAAAAAAATCCTGGTATATTCAGATTACCTATCATGCAAAGGAAGCTCTAAGAGAAATCTACGACTGTCCATGTGCTCCTTCAGCTTGTTGTCATATCTTTTCCTGTTGAGATGGAAGTGGACAATTGTCAAACAGTCATATCAGTGGCAGTTTGTGTTGAGTTAATTAGTTAATGTTGTAAGGACTTTTCTGTAAGAGTGCATTAATATAAAAGTGGTACCTCTCTATGGGAGAAGTAACCCTAATATTTTCCCCAAACACTACATGGTATCAGAGCTAAGTAACTAGCCGCCTCCCTCTTCAGCTCCAAACAAATCCGAGGGAGCGTGGACGAAGCTTACCTGTTCGAAGGTCGAGGTCGATCTGGTGTGGTGCGGTGAGCGTGGAAACCAGTGGTCGCGGTCGTCTGCACTCGGGATTTGAGAGAGGCCTTCATGATTAGTCTTCCTTTTTTTTGGGGGGGGGAGAGAGTTTTTGGGAGAGCAATTTCAGATTTGGGAATTTTGTTTAAGGAGAGAAGAGAGATGAATAGTGATTAAAAGATGGGTCTGTATTTTTCAGATTTGGGAATTTTGTTTAAGGAGAAGAGAAAGATGAACAGTGATTAAAAGATGTGTCTGTATTAGGTGATTGAGTAGTTTGGTTCCGCTGTTAGATCTATTTGGTTCTTGATTTGTAATAGTTTACTTAGGTTCCCTCGACAGGTCAGTCTTAGAACTGATGAGAGGAAGAGCTGATATCTCACTTTGTTGAGTTATCTTGCTTCTGATTCTTGTTTCCTTGGTGAAACATGAATTCTTGTTGATCTATCTATCTTGTTGTGCTGTCGAAGTGTTGTCGAAATTTTCGCTGCGCACAACAAGAATACAAGTTGGATCGATGACGGAGACTGGCAGAAATTCGATGGAGGAGATCATCAAGAAGTTGAATCCTGAGGAGATCTCAACTCTGATGCAACTGATGAGGTTGTCAGCGGGTGAGGGCTCGACAAAGCCACCACTGAGGAGGACCTACGATGTGGTGGGGAATAACCTGAGGGTATTCCAGATCGAGAAGGAGATCAGTGCTATAGTCCAGGGAGAGGACTATACAGGAGTACGCCACAGAGCTAGAACGTTTGTGGCTCGATCACGATCACTTCTCGCCCCTAGCGAGCTGCAAGGACCCGGAGTGCAAGGAGCGCGAGGCCTCTTTGCAGAAGAGGACCATGGTGTTTCTCCGAGGCTTGGCTCCAGCGTATGAGCAGAGGACGACGTTGCTACTAACTCAGACGAAGATCCCACCACTGGAGGAAGCAGTCTCGGCCATGATACAGGAGGAAAGCCGTATCAGACTACAGGTTGGAACAGGTGGACTTACATGGGAGAAGTCTGCACTGGTGGTATCCAACCCGAATAATACTGGATTCAGAAGGGAGACTAGACAGTGCTTCAACTGTGGAGAGGTAGGGCATCTGAGACAGATATGCCCTAAGCCACCCAGGGAAAGGAACTGGGGTGAACGTGGTCAGACTGGTGGCCGTGCAGGTCGAGGAGGCAGGGGGCGTGTAGGCCAAGGAGTTGCTCACCTAGCTGTGGCAGATGAGTCTCAGACTACTGCTGGGATGACTGGAGCTGAAATAACAGAGCTGGAGGAACTACGTCTGTTCAAGCTTCAGGCTGAGAGTTCGAAGGGCAAGGGACAAGTCACCCAGGATCTGGCTACCACTACATGCTTTGGTAACTTTATTGGTTATGCTCATGCGAACAAAGGTACACAGGTTCAGGCACTTGCATCCACTAAAACTCATGTTGATTGGATCATAGACTCAGGTGCATCTAGGCATGTCACAGGAACATCTAGTGAGTTTGCATTATATTATCCGAGTAAGCATATGCATCCTGAGACAGTTCAGACTGCTGATGGGACATCCCAACCCATCAGGGGTACTGGCTCGGTCCATTGCACTTCATATGTTACCTTGTCATCAGTATTGCATGTTCCTTCGTTTCCAGTTAACTTACTCTCAGTTAGCTCTCTCATTGATCAATTAAATTACACCGTGTTATTTGATCGAGATTTGTGTGTCTTTCAAGAGAAGGAAACGGGGAGGAGGTTTGGGACTGGTATCAGACGTGATGGTCTTTGGTATTTGGACAGGGAGACAGCAATGATTGTTGCTGCTGTTAGCGGAGGGTCAGAGGCGGAAGCGATGCTTCAACATTGCCGGTTAGGGCATTTATCTTTTGAGAGTTTAAATAGATTAGAACCTGAGTTAATGAAGAAAGTGGATAGAAAAGAGTTATTTTGTAATGCATGTGAACTTGGAAAACATACTCGTTCTACTTATAGAATGATTGGTCTTCAAAGTTTTGAACTATTTGCACTTGTCCATTCTGATGTTTGGGGACCATGTCCTACTACCTCTATCAGTGGTTTTAGATGGTTTGTTACTTTCATTGATTGTTATTCACGTATGACCTGGATATACATGATGAAGCAGAAATCAGAGGTTTACAAATGTTTTCAAGATTTCTCGGCTTATGTGAAGACACAGTTTGGAGTGCAGGTGAAGATTCTTCGAACAGATAATGGGACTGAGTATGTCAATAAGGAGTTTGCAGCTTTCATCTCTAATCAGGGAATTGTTCATCAAACCACCTGCCCAGACACCCCTGCTCAGAATGGGGTGGCTGAGCGTAAGAACAGGCATCTACTGGAAGTGGCACGCTCATTGATGTTGACAATGAATGTGCCTAAGTTTTTATGGAGTGAGGCTGTTATGACAGCAGCTTATTTGATCAACAGGATGCCATCAAGAGTATTAGGGATGAAGACACCATGTGAGATGCTTTTAGGCTCAAATGTTTTTGTTGTTCCACCAAGAGTGTTTGGATGCACATGTTATGTGAGAGATCACAGGTTGATGGTGAGTAAACTGGATCCGCAAGCAGTTAAATGTATCTTTGTTGGCTACTCATCAAGTTAAAAAGGATACAAGTGTTGGTGTCCCACTGAAAGAAGGCTGTTTGTTAGCATGGATGTGATTTTTCGGGAGTTTGAACCTTTTTATGGGGAGAAGACGGAGTTGAGTTCCTTGTTTGGAGATGACTCTACTGATGCTAGTAGAGAGGGGGAGAATGAGAATAAGAATGATATTGTGGTCGGGATGATTCCATGTCCTCTTGAGTCACCGAGTAGTGATGGTACATCGACGAGTAGTGGTGGTGACATAGGAGTTGGTAGTCAAAGTCAGGGGGAGCTGAGAGTATACACGAGGAGACAGAAACAGACCCATGAGCCGCCTCCCGTGCCTGTGTCAGTACCCACAAATGTTGATGACCCAAATCCCTCCTCTCCAGTGCCTTGCTCTTCTCCTCCACCTGAGTCGATAGGTAACGATTCCTTCCCTGATACCTCTGATACTCCTGTCTTGCCCCGCAGAACCTCTAGAGTCAATGCTGGAAAACCTCCAGCTAAGTTTGGTAATTGGGATACTGATATTGCGAATTACATTTCATATGCATCCATTCCACCTGCATATAAGTCATTCATTGCATCGTTGCATTCAGTGCCTGTACCTAACAACTGGCAGGTAGCTAAGCAAGATCCTAGGTGGTTGAATGCCATGCACGAGGAACTCCAGGCCTTGAAGAAGAATGACACATGGGAGTTGGTACCTTTGCCAGCTGGGAAGCGTGCTGTTGGATGTAAGTGGGTGTATACGGTTAAGCAAACTCCAGAGGGCAAGATCGACAGATACAAGGCCAGATTGGTTGCTAAAGGTTACAGCCAAACATACGGCATTGACTATGATGAGACATTTGCTCCAGTAGCAAAGATGAGTACGGTTAGAGTGTTGGTGTCATGTGCTGCAAACTTTAATTGGCCACTACATCAGCTAGATGTCAAGAATGCCTTTTTACATGGAGATCTTCAAGAGGAGGTATATATGGAGATTCCACCAGGCTTTACTACTTCTCAAGTAGCTGGGAAGGTGTGCAAGTTGAAGAAGTCTTTGTATGGGTTAAAACAGTCTCCGAGGACATGGTTTGATAGATTCAGGTTGGCAGTCTGTGGTATGGGGTGTACAAGCAGTGCAATGGTGATCATACTGTATTTTACAGGCACTCCAAAACTCGTATCACTATCCTGGCAGTCTATGTTGATGATATTGTAATCACTGGAGATGACGCTGAGGAAATCCTACTGTTGAAGAAGAAATTGGGAGAGGAATTTGAAGTTAAAGATCTGGGACAGTTGAAGTACTTTCTCGGAATTGAAATTACAAGGTCACGAAAGGGTATAGTGCTTTCTCAGCGGAAGTATGCTCTGGATCTTCTCTCAGAGACAGGGATGTTGGGGTGCAGAGTTGCATCTACTCCTATTGAGCAGAATCATAATATGAGTGCCGAAAGTGGGGACCCTGTAAGTAAAGAGCAATATCAAAGATTGGTTGGACGACTTATATATCTATGCCATACGAGACCTGATATTACTCATGCAGTGAATGTGGTGAGTAGATATATGCATGATCCCAGAGACTGAGGCCGAGTACAGAGCTATGACAGTTAGTCTGTGCGAGTTGATGTGGGTAAAAAACATATTATCTGAGCTGCGCTTGTTTAGAAGAAGCTCCTTACAACTTTGGTGTGACAACAAATCGGCGATTAATATTGCAAACAATCCAGTTCAGCATGATCGCACCAAACATGTGGAGATTGATCGGTTCTTTATCAAGGAGCAACTGAATAGAGGAGTTCTGACTTTGAGCTATGTGAAATCAGAAGAGCAGTTAGCTGATTGTTTAACAAAAGGATTAGGTTCTAGAGAGTATGATATCTTTTGTAACAAGATGGGGATGATTGATATCTATCGCCCATCTTGAGGGGGAGTATTGAGTTATTTAGATAGTAATTAGTCAATGTTGTAAGGACCTATTTGTAAGAGTGCACTTATATAAAAGGGGTATCTCTCTATGAGAGAAAACTTAACCCTAATATTTTTCCCCAAAACTCTACACTTACCTACCAAGATGCACGGTGTGTTATGAACAATCTGTTACATTCACATCAATCAACAGATTGTTAATATTACGCGCTTTGTATCTTACAATTTATGGAAAATGATATTCTTTTAGTTACATTATTAAACGACATGCATTTGTCATCACTTGGTGCATGACTAAAAGGGAAAAAATGCACAGTTTTTGGTTGAAAAAACTTTATAACATGTAGATCAATGTGAGTGGTGCAGCAAAATCCTATGAATATCATGCACTTTCATAGTAAGCATAAATAAGGAGCACTAGAGCCTCCACGTCTAGATGAGTTACCCACAATAATGATCTAACCTACATCTTGACAGGCCAAAACAAATCATAATTTAGCCCATTCTTCTATGAAATCCAAGATTCAACTGTCAGCTATTTTTAAGGTTCTCAGTAATGAGATGAGATATTTCCCCGACTGAAGAAACCGTTTGAATACTACATTCATCTGATGCACAATTTGTTCCAACGTAACATTCTGACCTGTTTCATTCCCTTGTTACTCTTTATCTTCTGAGAAGTTTATGTTGCCTCCAAGGATTAATACAGTTCTAGTAAAATTCCTTTCTATTTCACCAAAATCTGAAAACCAACCTAATGCAAAAGGCCTGTTTCGAACAGGGACCTTTTGTCCCCATTGTAAACAATTGGCAAAGAGTATGTATCAGCAATGTTTTTCACATGTTCCTATAATTAACAAAAGGTAACACATATATGTAATCCATAGCTTCACCTGTCTCCCCTTCATCTTGACATGATGATAGTTGATGACTAACCTAAGAGGAGAGATTTCTCCCTTCAATCACTTTCCTCATTACGAAAACAATTCATACTATCTAGGCGGTGGCGATACATTCCAAATTCGACTACAGTCATGTCCCCACGAATCACATTCATTCTCATTTTCTCTCTCAAGAAAATTATAACCCTCAACAAAAAAGGACAAGCAGTGACCAAAAGCAGATCCTCCACTACCTAGCTTCAAATCCGAGGACCAGAATCCATAATTTTCAAACAGTTTATCTACTTCAAGGAACATACTTAACCTGAATGAAATTCTATTAAAAATTAATGCTTAATTGCCCATAAGGATTCGCTGAATGGGAGCAAGAAACTGACCTTCAAATGGTGTCCTATCCATAACCGGAATATGCAAGCACCAAACATCAAATATCCTGCACTCAAATTTAAATTTTCATAAAGGAAACACATATAACTACTAATATATCAGAGTAAAAAAAAAGAAACAACAGGTTCCTCATGTTCATGCTTACTTTCCCAATCTTTGATGATGCCTAATAAGACCAAAACCAACGCCATCAATACCTACAAATCGTTGAAATAATAAGCAATCAAATCAGCTTCTCACTGAGAAAAGGTTCAAATCATAACTAAATGAGGAAACTATGGGCATAAATTTGAAGATGCAAAACTTATGTGGTTCCCAATTTCTGAAAGCCACAAAATTGTGATGCAGGATTAGGACCGGCAGGGGGAAACAAAGAAAAGGAGCGGTTTTTCAGGAGTGAACTGTAACAAGCAATTTTAAGAAACACGAAAAAAAAAGGTAACATCTCATATTTAATTTAATACTAGAAAAATCTCGTATCTTGGCGTAGCAAGAAGCAAGATGTGGTGGCTAGGTCTACAGCTGAGGCCGAGTACAGAGCTATGACAGTTAGTCTGTGCGAGTTGATGTGGGTAAAAAACATATTATCTGAGCTGCGCTTGTTTAGAAGAAGCTCCTTACAACTTTGGTGTGACAACAAATCGGCGATTAATATTGCAAACAATCCAGTTCAGCATGATCGCACCAAACATGTGGAGATTGATCGGTTCTTTATCAAGGAGCAACTGAATAGAGGAGTTCTGACTTTGAGCTATGTGAAATCAGAAGAGCAGTTAGCTGATTGTTTAACAAAAGGATTAGGTTCTAGAGAGTATGATATCTTTTGTAACAAGATGGTGATGATTGATATCTATCGCCCATCTTGAGGGGGAGTGTTGAGTTAATTAGTTAATGTTGTAAGGACTTTTCTGTAAGAGTGCATTAATATAAAAGTGGTACCTCTCTATGGGAGAAGTAACCCTAATATTTTCCCCAAACACTACAGTTTGAAACCTTAATTTATTGATAAGTATGCCTTAATTTATTGGTAAATATGACTTGCAGAATATTATTTCACCATTTTGGGTTCTAAATCTCATTCGCAGGATGCAAGGAGGAAATTTAGCAAAGTGAGATCATGTGCATTTCCATGGTTGTTTTGCACTTTGCTGACCATTTACTTTTTAGCGGCTATTAGGACTAGCCAGTTTGCTGATGTCAAGACTGAAATTTATAATGAATTTAAATCAACACACACTTTTAAGTTTGTTTGCTCAAGAAATGTCCCACTTATCCTAGTTGCTATTTCCATGTTATATTCTTAAATTAAATAACCTAAGGATAAATTCCCCAAACATCTTCATATTGTTTGATTAGGTAGTTAACTAGCTGCACATGTTTACTGTTTTTTCTTAATTAAACTTATGATAAGATCATTCACAGTGTCCTGCCATGTTTATGTTAAAGTATGACATGTACCGTTTGAATATTGTGATTGTTGAATACATTTTTCTGTACGAATCATATGTTTAATTATTTGTGGATCATCGAACAGCTTCCTTCCCAGCCCAGATGATATGTTAGCACTTGACATAGCATTTACAATTTATATAAAGTTTGAAGACTTGGCAAGTGGCCTTCGTATTGCGCTCTTTCTTGACAATCTCCAGGTCAGCTTGGCATTTTTTTCTCTACTCTTCTTGCTGCTGATAAATTTCAATGTGATGAGAAATGATCCCCTAATTCTGTCTTATAACAGTATGTGAAACAAGTATTTACATCTACTGAAGATCTCTTGCTGAAGAAGCAATTTTGTTATAATGTGGCTCGACATGTAAGTATAACACCATTGATTACTACTAATATTGAGTTCATCTGCTTTCAATCCTCAAAAATTCTTTTACCTAAAATTTATTCAATGGTATCTATATTTTGAGACTTAATGCTGATACTATACTGTACCATCGCACGATAAAATTGTGTCAATTAGTTAATTTCTATATTGATCATGTTGTATGTATAAACATAAATCTTTGTTATGGTTAAGCACCTGTCTGTTTACTTCTCATGAAGTAATTATTTGATGCTTTTGTTCATTGACGATGTTTTTTGGTGATTCCAGGGTTTGGTGCTGGAGCTTGATGATGAGATGGTTGCAGATGATGATGATAGAGAAGCACTTCAGGATATAGTCAACAATGTTAAATTGAGCGAAGGATACCTCACCCTCGCCCGTGATATTGAGGTCATGGAACCTAAATCTCCTGAAGACATCTATAAGGTACTGGATATTATACAAGACTGATTTTACTTTGGCTGATTTTCTTAGTGAATAGTGAGGTCAAGTTTGGCTGTGATTTCTGCAGAATGCTAATGCATACCGCTGACTAGTAGGCAACATTTATTAGATGGATATTTTATATTTCTGTACGCAATATACATTATTAGTATAGAACTGTGCCTTTTCTGGTACTGTACAGAACTGTTCTTGTATTTTAGCATTATTGGTCTAAAGTGAAAAACATCCATGACATGTCACCCTTTGTACATATCAATGATATCATGGGTTGATACTGTGCATGTGCCACTCTTATGTTTGCTTAATACATGTTACGTTGCTGAAGGGCAATAATCTCGGTTTCGTGGTTCGCATTTTGGTAATATTGATCTGTTCAGTTAATGTTTACTGATTCATGTACAGGATCTTCTGTAAGTTTAGTGTATGTTTGATTATTGATCTATATTGTTGTTTATATTTTTTTATTTTCTTTTTAGATACTTCTAATAAAATCCAATATTTTTTAAAAGATATTTACTGACACTATCTATTAAAAGATTACATATATATACCAGCCAAATTAGCTAGTGAATAATGATATATTTATTAATACTACCATTTTGTTAAAGTGCATGCACATGCACATGCCAGAATATTTAATGGGAAGTTCTATTGGAATAATGAAGAATAAATGCCTAAATGCACAATAGAAATGTATGTGGTTTTTGTATATCGAGATTCTCTGTTTTTCACTCTTTTGCACTGATGCTCTTAATTTTGGGTGTTGACACATTCTAAATTTTAGGCTCACTTGATTGATGGCCGTGGAAGTACAAGTTCTAGTCTAGATTCAGCGAGACAGAATTTGGCAGCTACTTTTGTGAATGCATTTGTGAATGCAGGATTTGGACAGGTAGACTTGATTCGGTTAATTACGCGAAAATTATATAGCTAAAACCAAATATATTGAATCATCCATCAATCCTTTTTAACTCCTACGTGCAGGATAAACTGATGACTGTTCTGTCAGAATCTTCAAGTGGATCATCTGGAAGTTGGTTGTTTAAAAACAAGGAACATGGGAAGACAAGTGCAGCAGCTAGTCTGGTAAGGATTATGCTTTTGTATGTCATATGATATTAAGCTCTCAGAAATACTTGGAAATTAATGAGCTTTGTTATTGTAACAGGGAATGATTCTTTTGTGGGATGTTGACTCTGGGTTAGCACAAATTGATAAATATCTTCACAGTACCGATAACCATGTTGCGGCTGGAGCTCTGTTAGGTGTTGGAATTGTCAACTGTGGTATCAAGAACGACTGCGATCCTGTGAGTTAAATTTACTTCTCTACAGGCACAAATGACCTTAGGCTTGGTTTGGTAGGAGATGAGGGACGGGAGGGGAGGGTCAAAAAAATATATGTTTTGTTTGGTAGAGGGTTTTTTGAGGGGAAGGTATAGTGAGGTGAGGTGAGGTGAGGGACATGTAAAAATGAACTAGACATGAGGAGCGAGAATAATCCCCCCAACTAGGTGGACACGAGGAGAGAGAAAATGAACTCGAAAAGGATGCACCCACTTCACTCCACTTCCAACCAAACATGAAGGCCTAAAGGGATGTCTTTCCCTGTAACTCATTGCACCTCACTTCTCATACCCCCAACTAGACCACATGCATAAGCCTAAGTTCACTTCTCACTTACAGGGTCCTATTACTAATGCATATATCTTTTGCAGGCACTGGCACTTTTGATTGACTATGTTCATAAAGAAGATACAGCCATCCGGATTGGGGCAATTCTGGGACTTGGCATTGCATATGCTGGTTCACATAAAGAAGAGGTAAAGCACCTGGAATTTCGTTTGTAACTGGTTTTATTTTTATTATGGGCTGACTATTGTACTTTGAAACAACAGATTAAAGTTCGGCTTACACAAATCTTGGGAGATCCAAAAACACCTCCTGAAGTTCTTGTTTTTTCTGCAATCACCCTGGGATTGGTGTATGTTGGTTCTTGTAATGAAGAGATTGCTCAAACTATTATACTAGCTATAATGGAGCGTAGTGAGGCTGAGATGGCTGAGCCCCTAATTCGCTTGCTCCCTGTTGCCCTTGGCCTTCTATACCTTGGAAAGCAGGTAAATATTATTTGCCAGCCAGTATTATTGTTTTTATTTTATTTTTTCATTTCACATTTTATCCCATACATTGATGCTTGGGATCTGCTTAAACGTGCTTACTATGAAATCTTGGCTTCTGCTTTTTCGTATTTGGTTCTGTTATTTTCTTGATGGAAAGGATACATGTTTTTGGTATTCTGCAGGAGAGTGTTGAGGCTACAGCAGAGGTTTCTAAAACATTTAATGAGAAGATTAGGAAACATTGTGATGTTACCCTGTTATCTATGGCATATGCAGGGACTGGAAATGTACTCAAGGTACATTCTTGAACTTAATGATCTACATTGCACCGCATGGATATGTGACAAGTTCATGACAGTTTATGGATATGTGGGTAAAAAGAATGTTAAGTAGAGCTAGGAGTATGGATATATAGTAGGTACTATCTGTGTGTTCGACAAGTAACAAAGCAAATCCTCGGAGATTAGGACATGACATAGTATTAATATATTATCTTCTTACGTGACAAATATCCATATGTTTGTGTAGAAACAGTAGTTGACAGCCTTTCATTTCGTGTCTTTCATCATAGGAGTCTAATAATTTCATGTTACATTTAGACATTGTTATTTATATATATTCAAATGTTATGATTTAACATGTAACTTGTACAAAAAGATCCAGTACATCTACAAATTCTACAAGGGTCAAAAATGGACGAATTTTCAAAACGAACCTATTTCCACATTAATCAAAAAAAAAAAAAACCTGTTTTGAACTTATTTTCAAAAACCGACCTGATTTCAGCCCTAGCGCTGAAACCAGGTCGGTTTTTGAAAAAAAAAATTCGAAACTTCACGGGAGTTCGACTCCCGTGAAGTTTAGTAAACTGCTGAACTTCATGGGAGTTCAACTCCCGTGAAGTTTCATAGTTAAAAAAATTGAACTATGAAACTTCACGGGAGTTGAACCCCCGTGAAGTTTAACAGCTTTACTAAACTTCACGGGAGTTCAACTCCCGTGAAGTTTCGGAAGCTTTTTCACAAAAACCGACCTGAGTTCAACTCCCGTGAAGTTTCGGAAGCTTTTTCACAAAAACCGACCTGGTTTCAGCGCCAAGGCTGAAACCAGGTCGGAAGTTTCGGAAGCTTTTTCACAAAAACCGACCTGGTTTCAGCGCCAAGGCTGAAACCAGGTCGGTTTTTGCAAATAAGTTCAAAACAGGTCGTTTTTTGGGATTAAATGTTCAAAGAGGGTGGTTTTGAAAATTTGTCCGGTCAAAAATACCTTTTAGAATTGTCAGCAGAGAGTCCGGAACTAAATACACATTAGGAATAATATCGTTGTATGTCAAATATGTGGTGCTCAATTGTAGACACATGGCAAAGATGTCCTTAGGACCTTAACTTAGGACACTCCAAAGGATTGTCCTGCAAGGATCCAATGGGAGCCTGAGAGGTGTCATGTAAGATGCATCAACATATGATGGACACTGTCACAGTAGAAGCACCAGTGCAATGTAGCTGATGACTCACTTCCGAAAAAAATATTCAACATGACATATTAGTAACTTGTCCTTTCAGGTTCAAAAACTTCTAGGATATTGTGCTCCACATCTCGAGAAGGGGGAGACCCATCAAGGACCCGCTGTTCTTGGAATAGCTCTAGTTGCCATGGCTGAAGAACTGGGACTTGAAATGGCTATCCGATCACTGGAGCACCTCTTGCAGTATGGAGAGCAGAACATCAGACGAGCAGTGCCTCTTGCTCTTGGCATGCTCTGTATATCCAATCCCAAGGTATTACTTGAAGTTTAAATGTTCATCAATTTTTATTTTGGTCACGTTTTAAATTTTTAACAGCTAATTGGAATGAGTGAGAATTTACGGATATTACACAGGGTATTCTGTTGCTAATAACACCTCAAAGTTATGCTGACGTTTTAAATTATTTATTTGTAACTTGTTTTATTAGGTGAATGTAATGGATACATTAAGCAGGCTGAGTCATGATGCAGATGCAGATGTGTCTATGGTATGTTTTTCTACTGGGTGCATTATTTTTATTTGTCAATACTCAAATCTAACTTGTGAGCTGCAGGCTGCCATCATCTCCTTGGGTTTGATAGGCTCCGGCACCAATAATGCTCGAATTGCTGGCATGTTGAGAAACCTTTCAAGTTACTATTACAAAGAAGCTGGCCATCTCTTCTGTGTAAGTATATAATCAGATTCCTTACTTTTTCATGAAATCATCTATAATCTTCAAGTTATTCAATTGTTTTGTTACTTATTTATATACACAGGTAAGAATTGCTCAAGGGCTTGTGCACATGGAAAGGGGTTACTGAACTCTTTCCCACTAACCACTCTGACCGATTCTTACTATCTCCGTAAGTAACTTTTATTTTATAATCCTTCAAATACTATTTCAACCCATCAGAACTTATATGTTGTTTCTTTACAGCACGGCGCTTGCTGGTTTAGTAACTGTGTTACATGCTTGTTTGGATATGAAATTTATCGTCATGGGGAAATATCATTACATGCTCTACATCCTTGTGTTGGCTATGCAGGTCTGAACCCAACACTTGTTCTCAAGTTTCACTATCAATAAAGATTTTTTGTAGTCAACTTAGTGGTTGCAACCTCTTTAACTTCCTGTAGACACCGTCATGAAGTAATAATATTATAACCTATGGAGAAAGGATGACTGGAGATAGCCTAGGAGAACTTGGATGGAATCAGTTGAGGAGGATAAGATAATGATTGTGGTTATTTTTACTTTAAAACCCCCAAAGCGTGCCCATTTTTTCACTTTGATACCACAAAGTTTATCCATATTTTCATTTTTATACCCCCAAAGTTTACCCATTTTTTCACTTTGATACGCGTAAGTATTTTTTAACGCTTTGCATACCTCCAATCCCATTTCACTTTGATACCCCCAAAGTATTTCTTTGACACCTGGGGTACAATGTTTCAATCGCATTTCACATAGATACCATCTCCAGTTTCTGTTAGATTTTCTGTTACAATTATTCATGGACTTAGCATGTGATACATTTATAACCATTTTACCTGGTTGCTAAGCGCATGATACAAATTCAACAAAAAAATCTAATGGGATCTAAACAGGGATATCAAAGTGAAAGAGGAGGGTAAATTTGGGGTACCAAAATGAAATTAATCCTAATAATTAACTTAACGGAGGAGGTTGCCTCAACGGAATTGAATGAAGGGAACAATGGGATTCATTTAGCCAATACAAAAAAAAATTAGGATGAAGGCTTTATTGTTGTAACTGTATCTGTTGATTTTATATTGCAGCCAAGGATGTTGATGACTGTAGATGAGAACCTGAAGCCACTCTCCGTCCCCGTACGCGTCGGACAGGCCGTCGATGTGGTGGGCCAGGCTGGACGACCGAAGACCATCACTGGTTTCCAAACCCACTCTACTCCTGTATTGCTCGCAGCAGGGGACCGAGCTGAGCTGGCTACTGAGAAGTATGACATGTCAAATTGGTTATTTTTTTTTTACTTTTTTAAGTTGATTCCTTTCTAACAGCTGGTTTTGCTTTTCAAACTTTGCAGGTATATCCCGCTCACACCTATTCTTGAAGGATTTGTTATCCTGAGAGAGAATCCGGACTATCAAGATGATCATTAGAAAAGGGAGGTATGCTGGGTGCTTACAGCTGTTCATGCTCGTGAAGAGCAATGCTCCTTTGGCGCCTGTATGCTTCGCGCGGTGCTTACATTAGTTCAAAACCATGTTGCAGGTTGTTCGGCGGAGACTGCGATATAAGATTTAGAGATGTACTGTGATGATTAATGTACTATGCCTAACTCTTGAAAGGGGTTAATATTCACTTATTTACGGACTGGCCTTTTCTTTATTATACTTTCAGCTCTTTGACGTGTATCAGAAAGGACATAGTGAGCTTTCATTCTGTGCGTTTTTAGCTTTTGCGATTATTCAGCATGACAATATCAATGATGACTTAGAGCAGGGATGTCGAAGCAATTAGAATGAAGTTACCGTTACCTTGAAGTATTAATTCCTTTGTTCCCTATACTGTTAAAAAAAATGTATGAGAAATTCTAATGCGTTCTCTCTTTTTGCTAAAATTAGCAAGTCCCATGTTAACTGTACAATCCACATCTTATTGCTGGGACGGCAATGGGTGCAATATTGGCAACAGTACTGGCTAACCGAACAATACGTGTCAATCATTCCTTTTAGTTGGCTCATTTAATTGCATATATTGTGAGCAATAATTCAAACCTTTTGTAAGACTCCCTAAACTTATATGGATATAAAAAATGACCTTTATTCTCTTATAAATACTTTCTAGGACGTTATTAATTGCTGAGCATCATATCCGAGCCCAGCGAAAACTTCAAGTTCCCTCTTCTGACTATATGGAGTATTGAACAATCTAGCAGGAACGGTGGCGTTCACACTGCAGTGAGCTTATATATATATATATAACCAAGCTTTGCCAGCTGAACTGTGTTTTTTTTAAGTTTAACCAGGCATTTTATTTGCCAAAATAAATTTTAGCTTACTAGAAGAGGAAAATCATTCAGCCCTCAAACTCAATAGACAAACTGCCGTTACTCTTTTTAGAATTCAAAAGTAGAAAGAGGATAACACCACATATAACGAATTCCGCTTGCTATGAAACACACCCCCCAAAAAATCTATCTCGACCGATCAACCAACCTTTGCTATGTGCTGAATAATGATATTAGATTATGTAAGTATATGGCAGCTCCTCTTGACTGTATACCACACAAACTACTCCTATATGTGCACAAAATGACTGACCATCTCCTGCTCAGCCTATAACGTTTCTCTATACAGGATCAGAAAGAATTCAGAGCCCTTACAGTTCTTGCAGCGATCCTCAAATACCTGAAACCTTTCGATGACAATGGTGATATCTGTTTTGAGACTGGTATAGTATAATCCTTTCCTCAGCTTTAGCTTTACAAGCCTGTCCCCATTCAATTCCTTGAATATGATACCATAGGATCATGGGGGAGGCCAACACCGAAATCCTCCTCCTCCTCTGGACATTTCCAGAACCATACCGAGCGTTGCAAAAATATGGCCCAATGCAATCGAAATAACTTACTTAGTATATTTCATCCATTATAGCGAACTTTCTGCTTTGAAGAGCTCTGGTTCTGCTGCTGTGGAGGCTGAATATTGATAGGTTGAGAGTTGTATTGAGGGAAGGGCTGAGAGTAAAGAGGGTTCATGTGGCCCTGGAAAGCTCTTTAAGTGTTAGTTCTTCTTTTTCTTTATTTATACCAAAGTTGATGAGACTGCAAAATTACCTGCGACTGAAGAGGAGGTCCCGACACACCAAAATGGCTCTGTGAAGATTCATCTTGTGATGGACCATTAAACCCTGCTTGTGTAAATAAACCTTGCGATCCATGAGACATGTAATCCTGAGTAGAATGGTTGAGAAAAACTAAGCCAAGGTAATTTTTTTTTTTTTTAAAAGAAGAGGAGGAGAAGAAGAACACAATATGTGCACTCATACAGAACTGCAATTTGGTGTGAAATATGTAAAATCTTAAAGAATTTCCCACCTGTGACATGAAATCATTTCCACTGCCTAAATGGGAATATCCTGGTTGTGAATTCTGGTTTAGGAAGCTTCCGGTAAACCCTGTATGAGGTCCCGGGTAATCAACACCATATCCACTTTGTGACGCCTGTAAATAGAATATCGAGTTGTTTCAAGTTTTTCCATACACAAGCTAGTTGATAGAGGTATGCCAAATGGCATGAAAGAGAGACCAGCTAAACGCGATCTCATTTTTTAAAGATTTGGAACCATTATCAAGAGTTGTCATTCTTTTTCTTTTTCTTTTCTCTTTATTATTGAAGGGCAACATCGACCATAATCAAAGAAGCCCTTGCAAATATATTAATCATCATCATTAGCATATACAGTTTAGCAATACTTGAAGAAGGAAACTGGGTCACGGACAGGAATCAAGAGGGTTTCCAAGGTGAATAATGAAAAATCAAATGCCAATTACAGTACAGGAATAGTCTTGGCATTTATTAGATAATTTCATAACAGAACCACAAATCAGATAATGACAAAAGGTAAAAGTGAATAACATAAAAATATAAACCATACGACTTGCTGAGTGCTAAAAATCTTAAGACATCAGCATTTTCCTTACAGGGTAATATAGCCGATTTCCTTCAATTCAGGGAAAAACATGTATGATTTTCTGTCAATTTTAGGCATTAGTTGTTGATCTGTCTCTTTGCAATAATAACATGTGGTGAACATGGCTAGTGAAAATGCATTAGAACTATGAAGAGGACAATGGAATTTATTCTAGTAACTTGAAGATCAAAGAAAGTCTATTAACAGTCACAGTAAACTAAGAGGTAACAGGACGAGACATAGCACAAAATGACTGACACACCTGAGTAGAAAAATCAGCAACATTATATGCAACATGTGATCCCTGGCTTTTGAAGTCATCGCCAAGGAATTCCTAATAAATAAAGGAAATGTCAAATATGACATAATTAGTCTCAAAAGTAGATAAGAAAGGGAAAAAAATAAATCATGGAACGGATAATACCTGAGACATACTATCAATAGGAAATCCTTCTGGAAATGTTTGGCTAAGCCCATGAATTGGCATCTGTGAAAGAAATGAAAGCATGTCAAACAGCCATCACAATATATTTGTAATTTAACGCTGAAATCAAAATAAAAGCAAACAGACCTGTGTCATAAATCCAGTTTGGGATAGGGGACCTCCAACAGAAGGCTGACTATTAGCGTTGTCCAAAGCAGGGAAATTAAATGCAGAGCCATGGTTACCCGCAGCTTGTTGAGAACTTTGCTGATGAGTAAGGTGACCACCAATAGGGCCACCAGCATTACCACTCCCAGCCCCAAAACCTCTATTTCCTGGATGAGGGGCCTGCGGAATGGCTCCAATAGGTCCATGAAGAGCTCCACGAGTCGGAATTGCATACGGCTGAGAATGAGGGCCTCCAGGGAAAGGAGGGAGAGGGATTCTTGATAGAGGATATCCTGATGGGTGCACTCCAGGCTTATGGGTGCCATTTGGGGGAGCAAATGACATATATGCATGACCTGGTACAATTTAATAATAGATTAGCAAAACAAGCATAAAAGTCACATATTAATGTCCTCTTACTTGATCTGAAAGCATGAAAAAGATCTGGATAGCACTGGTGGCTATGTCAGAGATGAACTTTTTCTATAGTGTATATAAAGTCAACTGACGAAAAAATACCTCTATTGCGGCTTCCTCCCTTATCGGGATTCGAACTTGATGAGTTGACAGGCCCAAAGTTGTCACCAGGAGCTGCTCCATATAGAAACCTACGATCATTGTAAACCTGCTCAATGTGAAAATATCATCCAAAGGGATGTTAGAGATGAAGAAATATCTATATAAGGTTGTAAATGGATGCACCCAGTTAGAGAGGAAACAAAAAAGCATGCAACAGAAAATGAACACTGCCAGCGTTATACCTTTTTTGGCTTTTGAAACTGTACCATACTTTGCTTCAAATTGTTCAAAGGCCCTTCAACGAGGCATTCATGTTCCTGAATGTAAGGAATAAGGAAATAAAATAACAATTATATACAGTATTTTGACAAATTGTTATCTAATATCCAAAATAAGCCATGCCAATTCTTTAGTAATCTAATGATAGCAGAAAAGTCCTCATGGATTAGGAGTCAATTGTAATGAAAAAGCCATGGTGATTATGTTACATCTCCTTAGTTAAGGGTGTCAAGTTTCAGTTTTCAGTCTCTTCAACATTAACCTATAATTTTGTTTGTCCATCTGTCTTCCATGCTCAGACAGAAGCCATTATGCAAGATTTGTGGAAAGAGATATAGCCACACAATACACAAACATAATATTGAAGATTGAAGCTCCCTCTAAAATCAAACATCAACGAGAAATTTTCATATTTGGCCATTTATTCTAAAACCAGTAATTTTTAGATTGTTCTCTGATTGCAAACCCGAGAATAAAAGTACTACAATGATTTACAGTTTAGTGCATGAATGAATATAAAATTAATAAAAGAAAGCTGAGCAAACATATAGTCATCTCTCCACTGAGACCTCTATTCTTCTCATCTTTCACAAATTTGCCCCATCTAATATGGAGTACACAAATATCTATTATAGTGTGACACTGTATGAATCCATAACCTATCATGATCCAACCAATAATTGATATTGTAGACACCTCATGGGATCTTATGGTCAATCAGCCTATAAATTCGAAGCTACCATCCAACATGGTTAACTTGTGATTGGTGGATAATGCGATAATGTCAATGTACCATACATGAACAATGAAATAAAATCCATACATGAGTACAAGGCAATGTGTGGATCAGTGTTTCTTTTTTCCTTAATAATATCAACCAGTGTCTTCACTATATTGAACCCTGTATTCAAAATCAATCATCTCTTTAGTTATATGTACTGAGCTGTTATTTGTATATGAATAAAATTAAACGTGTAATAAAAAACCATAAAAATTATGTTCCGACAAATTGCACACAGAACACATCCATCCTCTTAAGGTGAAAAACATTGCAAATTCTTCAACATACTTCCATACGTAACAGGATGACTGTGCAGTCAAGTTGAGCATTCCAATTAGTGTTGGGAAGTAATTTCTATACATTGTAATTATAAATTACATCACATGAATTTCCAAAAAAAACAAGATTCAGAAAATCAGAAGTTAACTGGACACATGTTGAATGCTGATAACAGAACGAGTCAGTCATGTAGGAGAGCAGATGCTGTAATAAAAATATAAGTACCTTATAATGTGTTAGTAAGCCATTCCATAGTGGCTGCTTGCTTAAGACTTTAGGATTCCCCAAGATAACAATGCCGTAACGAGCTCTAGTCAAGGCCACGTTTAACCTACGTGGATCATTAAGAAATCCAATACCCTGAAAACAAACGTAGCAAGTGACTTTTTGACCAGGTCTTTGAATATCATAAAGTAAGATTATGAAAGGGCATGATAGACATTCACAGGCAGGCATAAAGGTATGAGCAAGTGACATTATCCTGAAGATTCTAATTAGCGACCTTAATAGCAATCCTTTTCCTCATAAACAACAAAATCTTATTCCAGTGATCATTCTTCTTGTCAATTCTACTGGAGAATAATCCAGATTATCTACCTTCATCTTTGGACCAGCCATGGCATCAGAATCCCAAAAAGCTTTCATTTCTTCAGAAACATGATTTTTAGTTTAAAAAGGAGGGACATATGAAAAAGGTGAAGATTTATGTCATATATGATTTTGAATTACACTAAAAACATAAATACATATGTTTCAAGCTAGCTAACCATTGACTTTCTTCAGGAAATATTTCCATTATAAGAAAATACTTATGGTGTTCAATATAGCATCCAACAGAATGCAACTTACAGCTAACTTACAGCATCAAACAGGAAATGTTTCCATTATAAGAAAATACGTATGGTATTCAATATAGCATCCAACAGGATGTAACTTACAGCTAACAAACTATCTATTTGGCAAATATGGAACTTTAAAGCAGCTACTTCCTCCCCATTCGGCAAATATTTTTCAAGGTCAATGAATTGAATTTAATTCAAAATTATTGTGAATGGTTAGAAAATATAACAGGTGCCTTTCACATACAGTGAGTCAGGAGTAAAATTTAAGTAATAACAAGTATAATGCACACAGGCAATTATATTACAACTATGAGAAATACCTGATGCTCATTGCTCCGCACACAAGACAAGATGATGTAATCTTTCTCTCTTCCTTGGAAAGAGTCAACACTGGCAACCTGCAACAAGTAGACAGAATTGCAGTAATAATATCTAAGAATAGCTACTAATACAGCTAAGTTAGAGTACAACCTCAATTTCCTTATACAGCTGTTGTCTCAGAGAGCCATTCCTCGACATATAATTTACAATATATGCTCTCTGTCCTTCATATGGTGTTATGACTCCTATCTGCAATGTTCAAAATTTTGCAAGGAAAAGATGCAAGCATTACATATGCAACAAAACAAGTATGTAAAAAAAGTGAAATCACAGCACATCCAAGGGTACCTGACTAGGTATGACACCACTCCTCAAAAATGTCGTTACAATCTTTTCAACGTTTGAAGCCTCAGTTCTATTCAAATATGATGTTCCACTTGCACTAATCTCCTCTTGCCCCATCTTCCATGATCAATGGAAGCATAAGCATATATACCACAGAAGGAATTCATATGTACAAGTAGGCAGAGGATAAGAAAAGACAAATTAAGAAAGAAGATGTCAGATACCTGGACATAGAAGAACATAGGACGTGTAGGAACTGGCCAAGGAAAATCAATGCCAGATGTTTGTCTTTCATTTACGGTCACCCCATTCTGAAGGGTACCTTCATAGAAGTTATTTGAAGGAAATTCAGATAGGGAAGGATGCATGCGATACTGGACCTGCAAGTTGAATGATATTTGCATGTGAATGATGGATTATCATGAACAAAACACAATAACCTGAAAACATATAGGACCTTTATCTACTGCCAAAGAGAACAGAACAGATCTACCAAAGAATAACATCATAAGTAACGTTTTAAGTACACAAAACCAATTTGAAAATAGCGATAATGCATAGCGTAACGCTCACCTCCGGTTAACGTAAAACGCAAAATAGCATACTCTTAACGTAGGTTAAATAATTTATTATTATTTAAATCTTTTATAGATACATACTATTCAAAATCAAATAATATGAATAATCATCACAGTTTTCGAGCATATCATCATAAAAATACTATCACAAATCAATATATCATCACAAATTCACAACAAAATCAACCATGTATGCCTTAACAGTCATTCCAGAAGCATAGTCATTAAAAAAATATACATCACACATTATCACAGTAAGTTCTAATAGGTAATAGTACATCATAAATCTAAAATATATATAATAGTAATCCAAGTGAAGTTACAACTTTATTTTTGAAAGAAAAGTACCAGTTTTTATTACTTCTAAATCTAATTAATTAGAAAAAAAGTAATTAGTAATTCCTTGATCTCTTTTTAATGTTTTTCAGTGCAAAATCTGATTAATTAAAAAAAACTCAATCATAGCCATCAAAATTCTTTTAAAAATCAATCCCAGCCCTTGAATAATTTAATCTAAGCTATAGAGCGCTACGAAGATGTGTTACAAAGCGTAAGCTATTTGTAAAATAGCGTACGTTATTTTGTTTCTGCGCTATTTTCCAGCGCTACGTAACGACAGGGTGGCGCTAAGTTACGTTATGCGCTATTTTGCGCTACAGAACACGTTATTTTCTACACTGCACAAAACCGATCAAAAACGAAATACACAAAACACATAAGGGATCGGCAGTCACTTAGTCACACAATATGGAATATATGCTTCAAATTCAACTCCACAAAAATACCAATATATAATTATAATTCCTTGTATATTAGGTCATGGCCCATGCATTGATAATTGGTATCAAAAGTACAATGCATATAGAGAGCATTTCAAAGACATCTCAAATGTAACTCCATGACAAAAATGAGTAAAAAGTCCATTTAATAGTCAGTAAACATAGAACTATATACTATTTGGACCAGATTGAAGGAATAAAGAGAAGATACGGTAACGAGAAAAAGAATACAGTGGAGGAGATGATCTTGGTAAAGAAATTAACTAGTTTACTCAACAGGTTATGACACGAACTAGAAATTAAGTGCTAGAACAGTTAAATGTGTGCGCTCTGCAAACATATTTTTTATATCAGTCTTCAAAATAAACGATATTACCCCATAAGTAGGCTGCTTAATATAATTATACATGTTGATGAAAGAAAAGCTGACACTTAACGGTGACCAACTAAAATGATAATACTTAAAATTACTGCCCACCCTTTTTCCTTACAAATCCTTAGCATTTCAAAATCTCCTAACACTATGGTTATTTTAAAAATTTAACCTAATTCGTTGGCAATTGGTGAATAACAGCTCCATTAGTTGTTTTGTGACAAGTAAATGAAGACTGAAACATTTCCCTAAGGTTGCGTTTGGGAAGTGGAATTTGGATTTCATGCCTATATTTGAAATCAACAGATCTTAGATCTAAGATTTCAAATCCATGGTTTTAAACTTTTAATAAATCATGTGTTTGGATACTTTGCTAGATGAAGGAATTTTAAATCCTACATTTCGATATATTTTTCTGACAGACTAATTATATCCAAAATCAATTAATATGGGTTTGTTTGATCCTTCCGTTTTCTTGTTCATTTTTTACAACTTCAAAGTAACTGTCCGTTCTTCACCTCAGGTAGAATTTCCACTAATCACGGAAAGTTCGTAATTAAATAAGCACAAGGAAAAAGAATATGGGCACATTTATAAATACATCTCTCCGTTGATATAAACAAAATGCTGATATATGATCATACATTCATAAGAATAAAAGTGACTTTGATTCTTAATTACATACATGAACAAAGTCAATAAGGTTTCATAAAGATTATTATTGAAGTATAACACTCGCAAAATGTCAAGAAAAGAGGTGATTCTACATGGATAAGATTCCATCGCACAAAATAATCAAACAATACAGATAGCATGCTAAATTTAGCCACAAGCTCAAACTACAGTTTTAAAACCATTATCTTCCAAATTTGATCCTTTCATAATTTAACCCCTAAAAGTTCCAATCTTGGCAAAATTATAATACTCCATATAAGAAAAATCCCCAACTTTCTCAAAATTAAACAACTCATATCGTCGACCACAAGCATGAAAATGATGCAAGCTCCCCAAACACCGCCAACAGATTGCCTGGTATATATACAAACCTCAATTCAGAAGTCCTTGAGGATTATGGAAAATCAAGGGTGCGACACTCGAGCATGGACTGCCTCTTGAAGCTGAAGTAATTAGCTCGAGATTGAAATCAAGAGTTCAAGGCGATGGTTCGGGGCTGCGAACGGCCGGAGACAAAGGAAAGAGGGATGATAGGTTCGGAGACAAAGGAAAGAGGGAGGATAGGTCGCCGGAGAAGAGGGGCCGGAGTCGAAGGCGAGGCGTTGGCTGGAGGTGGCAATCGACTGGGTCTAGGGTTGTGTGTGTGTGTATGTGTGTGTGTGTGTGAGAGAGAGAGAGAGAGAGAGAGAGAGAGAGAGAGAGAGAGAGAGAATCAGGATTTTGAGGAGACAGAGATCGATGAGATATTGAGATGAAGGGGATTGGATTTGATGAATCATAAGGGTCAGGGTGAGACTTCAAATCCATAATATTGCGCTTCAAAATCCAACTCTACAAAATCATCTAATTTAAAATATAAACCAAATTTGAAATCCAAACGAGATATTTGGATTTGGGCTGCCCTGGATTTCAAATCCAGGCCCAAATCCAAGTTCCCAAACGTAGCCTAAACAACTTAAGTATGGTTTGTAATCCATACAAAGATATAAAAAGAAGAAACACTTTCTGTTTCTTTTTTAAATAAAATAAAGTAAGAATTTTTTTTATAATTGCACATTTTTTATGTAACAATACCCAATAGAATCTAATGGATTTTTTTCATGCAGCGACATCAGTCACATAAGTAACCGAAGCATTGTCATAATAATGCCAAGTAGCCACTGAAAATCATCATTTTGTATAAATGGATCTTAAGCAAAAATGACGACTAACAAACAAACAAACAAAAAATCTTCAAGCAGACACCATCATTCGAGTTAGGTCAATCATCAGGAAACTACACTTAATTGTCAGAGAATCTGAGAGCTAGAAATACCAATAACTATATAGTCTAGCTCCATAATTATTCAGCAGCAGCATTTGGTTAAATATTATATGGCAGCAGCATTTACTCCAGTTGATTATGAAGAAAAAGGTAAGGTAGGTGGCTTGGCACATTATAGATTAATTCCGTAGGTAGATTTGAAGCTTTCCCACCTTTTCTTCCGCATTACAAGTTAACAAACTCCCTTGTCTTCATAATCTAAATAGCATTCCTTTTGTATTATATTACATACTGGCTCTGCAAATTCTTATTTTTCCTGCACTCCATCATGTGCTCCAAATTTTGAGTATTATATGTTCCTTCTTCACAACATAATAAAGCATAATACATGAGCATATGCAATTAATGACTTCTGCACAATTAAGCGCACATTACAAAACCATACACTAGGTCTAACTTGCAAGTGCATTGAGGTAATCAGGTGCATAATAAAGATTGATATCTGATGACTAAGAAATTTATGGCTGCCTAGCTGCTAAGAGAACTTTTCAAGATTAGAGAAATATTAAAGTAAAAGCACAGTTATCACCTGAAGTCTTATGGGTTTCAGTCCAAGAAGAACAAGGCGCTCAAAAAGAGATTGAGCTAATCCAGCACGAGCTGCTTTCTTACACATAATGACTGGGCCAAGCTGGCAATGGTCTCCAACAAGGACAACCTGATTTAAGATAAACGCCTGATCAGACAACAACCTCCAACAAAGAACAACATAGTTCTACAAAGATTTTATGGCACCACCTACCTGTTTCGCACCAAGAACTAATGGAATAAGACATTCAGGTTCTGTTGCCTGAGTAGACTCATCAATAAGAACCTGCAAATAGAGTTATAATCTTTAGTAAAATTGAGAGAATCTCAGTTTCGAGTTAAGGCTCATATTTTATAAGTTATCCACCTGGCGGAATCGGAAATTTGATAGTCGAGGATCGCCCGCACCAACACAGGTGCAACAAATGACATCAGCATTCTGTAATATCTCTCTTTCAGTGGCCCTTTTCAATGCCTTAAACTTCTTTTCATCATTGCTTGACAATTCACCTAAAAACGAGTCATATTACTCTTTTCCCTTAGGAACCATATGTAATTGAGCCAATACAATAAAAAGCAAGAAACCAAAAGCTTAAGATTGAAGGAAAATCCAGCTTTCCTCTCTAAATATTTTTTTCCTGGAATCTATTTAAAACATAGTATGGAAACCAAAAAATATAATTCAAAGAGGGACGGGTCTATTCGTATCATTATCCAATGAATTTATGACAAGAAATATCATGACATAAGCCTAAACACGATTCAAAAAAAGTAAAGGGGAAGGGGAATTATCTAAGTAGGAACTAAGATCCTAAATATCATAATGTTGTCCTAAAAATGGTAAACTAAAAACAACTAGTGAGCGTTTGGCAAGAATCATTAAGTACCCTGTTCATCTTTTAATTGCTGGAGTTTGTGAAGTTCACTTTTCTCAGATGTATCTAGATGTCGAACCTGAAATAGATATATATGCCATCAGTAATACAGCTGGGACTGGAAATTTACATGATATGTGTACAAGAGATTAGAAACCCATGTAACCTGATAGTGAAGTGTTAAATGCTCCACAGGAGAACTGACAGCCTCTCTTGATTTGGCACAAAGCCTAACAACCTGGAAGGTGAACAATAGAAAGAAAATAAGCCTATGTCGTGAAACAGGGAATAACCAAAGTCCTAATTGGGGAAAATATATAACCAAACCTACAAACCAATATTCACAGGATGGAAAATATTTAAATATAATGATAAAGATTTTTGAATGTTGATACTGTAAAAAAAAACAATGTCTTAGTATTATTGTGATATGTTTCATGATAACATATATTATGCGGTTTGTCAAAGTTCCAAAATTTTCTGATGAACTATAAGGGGTTCTATGGTTATATGTCCTCTTCTTATATTTATACATCTTCTGTTAACATGGTGGCTTAAAATGAAAGGTTGTTCCAACCTGTACACATTCAACATGACAGGATAATATTTACAATAGTAAGATCATAATTGCACTTTGAACTAATCAGAACATAGCACCATTTATGCAGCAATCATCCCCTGTTACGGTGTCCTAGTTTCTTGAGCATACCACAGTACAGACAAATGTATCATAAACTTTGATGTCTACCAATGATTGCATGTTGCTTCTGCTGCACCATATGTAATTGACAAAACTGTTCATGGATCCTAGCAGGTGTGTGATATATTTTTCGTTTCCTTGAGACAAACCATGTCCTGATCTACAACATGTGATTTTTTTTTTTGTTTCCCTTTTCCTTGAGACAAACCATGTCCTGATCTACAACATGTGACTTACTGTCAACTAGGGATGTCAAATGGGTGGTTTTGGTTGGGTCTTGGTTGGGTCATAAATGAGTGGGCACATTTATGACCACTTAACCATTTATGACCCATTTAGCATTTGCTAAATGGGTCGGTTCTCAACCACCCATTTACTAAATGGGTGGTTCATGGGTGACCCAATAACCTATTTAGTTATGATTATGATACTTCTATATATATGTAAGTTTCAGGGATCTACTTGCAAATTTTTAGGGGGTTTTGGCAAACTTTTAGGGGGGGTTTCCTACAAACTTTCAGGGGGTTTTTTGCAAAAAATTTAGGGGGTTTTTTGCAAACTTTCAGGGGGTTTTCTGCAAACTTTCAGAGGGTTTTCTGTAAACTTTTAAGGGTTTTTTGCAAACTTTCATGGGGTTTTATGCAAACTTTTAGGGGATTTTCTGTAAACTTTTAGGGGGTTTTCTGTAAACTTTTAGGGGTTTTTTTGCAAACTTTTAGGGGGTTTTTGGTAAACTTTTAGGGGTTTTCTGTAAACTTTCAAGGGATTTTCTGCAAACTTTTAGGGGGGGTTCTGCAAACTTTCAGGGGGTTTTCTGCAAACTTTCAGGGGTTTGGTAAACTTTTAGGGGTTTTCTATAAGCTTTCAAGAGATTTTCTGTAAACTTTCAAGGGGTTTTCTGCAAACTTTTAGGGGGGGTTTTACAAACTTTTAGGGTGTTTTCTGCAAACTTTTTGTGGGTTTTCTGTAAACTTTTAGGGGTTTTTTTACAAACTTTTAGGGGGTTTTTGGTAAACTTTTAGGGGGTTTTCTATAAATTTTCAGGGGGTTTTCTACAAACTTTCTGGGGGTTTCTGCTAACTTTCAGGGGGTTTCTGCAAACTTTTAGGGGGCTTTCTGCAAACTTTTAGGGGGTTTTCTGCAAATTTTTAGGGGTTTTCCTGTAAACTTTCAGGGGGTTTTCTGTAAACTTTCAGGGGTTTTATGTAAACTTTTACTGGTTTTATGTAAACTTTCAGGGGGTTTTTTGCAAAATTTTAGGTGGTTTTCTGCAAACTTTCAGGGGGTTTTCTACAAACTTTTAGGGTTTTTATGTAAACTTTCAGGCGGGTTTCTGCAAACTTTCAGGGGGTTTTCTGTAAACTTTCAGGGGTTTTTCTGTAAACTTTCAGGGGGTTCAAAATCCATGAGCTATGAGCGTAATTGTTCATTTCTTCATATTTGTTGTTGGTTAAAGTCTATTATTTTTTTCATGTTTGTTCTTAATTACAGAGTGTCCCCAAGTAATTCTCCTTGAAATTTTTTTATCACGCCGGATAACAATACACGCTCTCTTTCTCTCCTGTTTCTCGCGCAATAGACACAAGTTTTGCAAATTACACTTGGCCGCACACGCATATATCTCCTGCCGACGAAGAATTGTGAGCGCCTACTTTTTATATTTATATATCCTTGAGGGTGTTTTTTGCAATTTTTAAAAGTTTGAGGGTGTTACTTGCAAATTTGATATTTATAGGAGACTACCGAAATTTTTTAGATTTCATGTTTCATTTGCAAGTTTAGAAAATTCTAAGATTGTTTTGTAGTTTTGAACTCTTGAGGGTGCTTTTTGCAATTTTTAAACTTTGAGGGTGCTTTTTGTAAATTATAAATTTATAGGGGGCTGCTAGTAATTTTTTGATTTCATGTGTCATTTGTAGGTTTTGAAATTTCAGGATGGTTTTGTAATTCTAAACTATGGAGGGTGTTTTTCTAAAAATTTAAAACTTTGAGGGTGTTAATCGCAAATTTTAAATTTATAGGGGACTATTGAAATTTTTTAGATTTCATATATCATTTGCAAGTTTAGAAAACTCTAAGATTGTTTGGTAATTTTGAAGTCTTGAGAGTGTTTTTCTCATTTTCTACAACTTTTAAGGGTATTTTTTGCAAATTATAAAATTTCAGGGGGCTGGTGGTAATTTTTTTTGGATGGTTCATTTGGCGGGTGGGTATGGGTGGGCAATTGGTTTTGGGTCCATTTTGCCATCCCTACTGTCAACCAAAAATCCTTGAGAGAAACCATGTCTTGATCTACAACATGCGCTTTTTTTCCTTTTCCTTGAGACAAACCATGTCCTGATCTACACCATGTGACTTCCTGTCGACCAACAACGAAATTTGCCCCTGAACCAGATCATGGTGGCTATGAATATACATTTTGCTTGTGCAATGGGTACCTATTGATTGTTTAGATAAACCAAATTCATATCCTGGTCTAGAACATGTGAATTCCCATCGACCAACAACCAAATTTACCCCTGAACCAGACCTTGGTGGCAATGGGTATATATATATTTTTCTTGCGAAATGGAAACTTATAGAATTTATAGATATTTCAGATTCATATACCATGCTATGGTCTACAAATATTTCCTTGTCCTTAACCTGGAGTACTGCTTCTCTGTCATGGTTGCAGCAATGCAAGTAATGCACGATTATAGGGCAACAAAATATATACAACTTAGCCCGTATTTCATACTAACCATAGTTAAAACCTACAGTGTACATGAAGAAGGGAATAAAAAAGTAGACAAGAATTCATTGTACACATCACTTAAGTCTAATTACCAACAAGCTAACCTCCAAAAAAAACAAGCTGAAAATAGTACCAAGTCTTGTAGAATGTAGAATGCATAAGTGGAATAGCAGAGAAGTTCTGCTAAATTCTAGTTTTCAAATGGAAGCCAAGCACAATAAATTTCCAATAAAACTGAACTAAAAATCATTAACCTAGCTCGTACCTCACTACCAAGCTGTGACTTTGCAATTATGCATGTAAGAAGAAACCTTATTACATATTATTTTCATTTGCAGTTAAAGAAATATTAAACGACTACAGCAGAAAAATGGAAATATCAATACTGTGAAAGATTTTTTTTTCCTTCTGCAATCTGTTTTTCTTGGCATATATGCCCTTATTTACATATTTTTCTGCAATAGATATTCTGGACCAGATCTTGGTTGCTGTGTTATACTTTTTGCTCAAACATCCCACAAACCCCCCAACAACCCCTCCCCCCCAACCTAAAAATAAAAAAGCCGCCGCCACCTACCTACCCACGTCTTTGTCAAGAAAATACCACCAAATTAGCATGTAGGACCATAACATGCAGATGTGTAGCCTAAGTTGCATGGGTATGGGTACAGGTGCAGTTATGGCACACGGCGAATTTGCAAAAGGGGTGTGTGTGTGTGTGTGTGTGTGTGTTATGTATATTATATGTATTGAAATTAATAATTTATATAAGATCAATATATAAGAAATAGATGTGAACATACATCCAAGAAGTGTATAAGGAGAGTTTTATATTAAATCAGATATTATAAAATTGAGTATATGACCGAATAAACAAATGCATATATTCAAAAAGTGTCCAAGAGGTTTGGGTACGGGTACAGGCACGTGTAGGGTACAGGTACGGCTTCCTAATAGAAGTACCCAAGTAACATAGTGTGTAGCAGACTATCAGACTTTTTTGCGTGCTATCAGATAGGCATGCTCCAATTCTCCTAGATTGGACCAAATAAGGTTCATGTGTACAAGTATCAGTGTCTATTTTTAAAACATTGGGAGAGTGTGTAGCGTCAAGCAAATTTCAAGAATAATTCAATGTAGCATTTGCCAAGATTTATGAGAATAAATTCATTAAGATCACTAAATTGTGCTCTTTTATCAAGTGGGTTCTTCTATCAAGTGGATCAAGAAGCGAACTGCTTGACAAGATATTATCCATGTAAAATTTTCCAATTTTTTTATCCTCGAGAATCATTAAACAGCATCAGCAAAGGTGAAAGAGAAAAAGCAAACAAACACACCAATATGAAAATAAAAATGAAAAACCAATACGGGATAGAAATAGATGGAAGTAAACAGTCCCAAAATTATTACCTTTAACCCAGTTGAGCTTATCTTTTCAGCCAGTTGGTCCACAGCCACATTGCTCGGAGCACATACCAAGACCTGAAAAGCGATGAAAGAGTCAACTACGCAGGGTATACGACTTCTAACAATGTGATATAGGTTCTCAAAATATGCAGCATACCTGTCCTTGTCCTTGTTTAGCCATGTGGTATACGATTGCTGCAGATGTAACTGTTTTCCCAGTGCCAGGAGGCCCTTGTATCAAACTAATTGGTTTCTGAAGGACAGTCTTAACAGCAAAAACCTACATATTAACCAGGCCAAGAGGTCATTTCTTAACAGACATAAAAACAATACTTCGCCTAGAGATCTAGATTGAAGAATTACAATATTAGCATCCTATGAAAAAAAATGCAATCTCTACACATAAGCTAGTTAAAAAGAGAGTATCCATGTAAATAAAAAGAGCGCAGCATAAAGAAAAGAAAATCAGCACTCTTAAAGAATTTAATGCTGAAATTTCAATTGAATAGGACGAGGGCAAGTTTCTGAAAATCATAAATTAAAAGGATTTGGACATTAAAGGCCACAGAAGACCAAAAATCAGATAGTGAAGAATAGGTGAAAAGCACTTATCAGAACTGTGATACAAGGAGAGTAAAAGTATTGTTATACAACCATCAAAACTCAGTGCTGAAATGACAAGAATTATTCAATCTCTTGGCAAGGTCTTTAAGATGGCCATTGCCGAAGGAATGTTCATGTTGTTTCACAAAATTCCAAACTATTGACCTCAGTTAGTTCATTGCTTAAATGAATGATTTCTCCCAGACATATATCTGATTCCATATTCTAATAAAGTGGTAGCTCAAGAAGAAATGAAGAAAACATACAATCAAAATCAGGTGTTGTATCTGACTATCTTTCTACATGGCATTCTAGTCCATGTCAAACATATCCAGTGCAACCTCGAATACAATATTTCAGAAACTCCTAATTATCATTTCTGGGAATTTCCATGACATTATATCAAATGAATTTGATTGAAATAAAACCACACGACAATGGTTATATCATCAAATATGTGACACACATCCAAGAAGAGACTTAAAAAACCATTGCAAAAGTGGCTAGAGAGAAACTAAACATTATTTTCAGGCCACACACAATCAATAATTTTGATGTTATCACGTACTAGTAGACAAATACACCAGAAAGGGGAAAAAAAACTATAGATGAACAAACCTGAGATACATTTAGTTCAGGAAGACCTGGAGCACCGAAACGACGAGGTAGTGTATTGCGTACAACTTGAAGTTCCACTTCATGTCCCAAGAGGTGATGGTATATGTATCTGATTGTCAAGATGGATCAGCAAATACATTAATAACATAGGTTGCCACACATATCCATGATAATTATTCACCGCTATTGCTATTAACACTACATGATGTTTCAGCGCCAAAATTTAAACAAAATTAGCACAGCAGGAACATATGTTGCCCATAATATCGCAAGCCAACTCTATCTTCTGTTTATGTCTGTACATTAAAAGGCCATGCTTCGGACTTTCACTTTTTAAGTGTGCAACAGGGTGAAAATCAAGTTACGTGCTTCACTAAACATGTGAACCTAATATCTCACTCAAGGCATAATCATGCTCAAACTCATCAAGGTTCAGACATGTAGCTCACCCGCTGACACTTGTTTCATCCACAGCAAAAGTTTTCATTGCACCTTGCATTCGATCAAAGCTAGTACTCTTCCAAACAAAGTCCACCTGGAAACCATGGGTCAAATCTACAGGGACTCCCTGAAGACAAGGAAATAAAAGTAAGCATGTTATCCTTCTGACAAAGCTAAAACAACAACCAATTCATGTGCTTAATCCAATGATATTACCTGACTTGCACGGAGTTCCAGTGCTACTTCCTCCTGAGCAGTTAGCTTGATCTGACATTTTTAGAAGGAAACAAAACTGTAGTGAGCAGACTGTTAGAAGCAAATATTAATTGACTGCTTTGAGAAATAACACTGAACACCAGACAGGCAGAAGCTAAAGAAAGGTCAACAGAGAAGAACTAGACTATGAAGTTGTTGCATATACAACATGCATACCACATGCCCCACAGACTGCCATGCGGGATGAGATGCATCCCCTGAATATCTCAGACGCAACTCATCTCCTGGAACAAGCCTTAGTTCATTATCCTCCTATAAGTTATATAGTAAGTCACATGTTAGGAAAGAAAACCAGGGAGGTCTGCCTGAAACTTACAAAATCAATAACAAAGTCAATTCAATAATAAAGTTTCCTGATATTATAGATAGAAGTCATGTTCACCACATAACCTTGGGAAACACAAAATAGGCTACTCGTTTCTTGTTAAGCCCTATATCCCATCGTATCGTCACATTTTCCTTGGTCTGTGACTCCTTCATCGCCTATAATTGAATTTAAAAATAATGAAATTCAGCAAATTAATTAATCGTAGTGTACCACTACATGAATTAAACGTCAGGTAATAATCAATATATGTTGGAAATTACAAAAAGAAACTTCAATAACTCAACAATAACAAGCACACCTTATCATAATCAGCTTCAAGTTTAATGAGGGGTGCAAACACATTTTGATACTGCCAAAAAAAAGACTCATCAGTTATTTAAATGAATACAATGCTTGATAAAATAAACCTCTAACAAAGGCCATAGTACGCATAGATGTGGAAGTAGAGGTCGTGTTCAAGCGTACTACTAATAGTTAGATACATGGGCTAATGGGCTTGACTATAACCAAACTTATCATTGCAGGCCGTTGTTGCTTGACCCATACCACCTACTGAGTCAAACCCCCTTCAACAGCTTATTGATCTCCCAACCTCTTCATTCCTTAAACCTCTGAACCAATTATTGATTTTTAGCACTCAAGCAAAAAAAAAAGTCTGTTAAATCATCATCAACAGGAGTCCCAGCAAAACAGTTGACAACAATAAATAATGAATATTGACCATAAAATCTGCCACATCGCATGCAACAGGAATGGACTAGGGTCATGCATAGAGAGGATTATACGTCTATACCCATAGTTCTCTTACCCAAGTCGCAATTCTGTATTCCCAAGCCATACCCATCCAACAAATGGAGTATTTATTGCAGTCACATTTTGCAGGTAAGGTCAGCTTAATAGGTTGGATCAAAAGTTGCAATCCTGTACTCCTATTGAAGTTAATTTGAATTCAAAAATTGAATGTAAATCAGTGAAATCCAGAACCTGATAAGCATCTTCATACTTCAAGGATACAGGCTGGGGTTCATCATCCACTCCTGGCTTCTCAAGATCCTCCAAAGATGCATCCGGATTTGTTTTCCACAGCTCTTCAACCTTGTTGATCTGCTGAGCGCTAATGTGGCATGCTCTAAGCTGCTCCTGTTCAGAAGGGACCTGTAAGAGATGAATAATTTAGTATTTAGTAGGCATAGCCATGCAAGAAAAAGATTGTGAACCAAGAAATTCGAACCTTGACCAACCAAGGGAGAAAACACCTATCATCAATAAGGGGACACCATTGGCTGAGATCCCAGTTCATGTCTTTCAGTGCATTGACATTCAAGCAAGGTTCTCTACACAAGAGAACAACAACACTATCTGTTTTCGCGGAGATAAATCCGAGAAGAAAGACATTCCTGCAACCGCAATTATAGCACTCAAGTATAGTCTCCCCCAGTGGGCTATCTTTATGAAGGCATACTTCCTTATGTTTTGCTCGAACCTGGAAAGAAAAATCACCTGATTCTTAATGTAGACAATAATAAGAATAAGCATGCGAACAGATGTATCAAGCGCATGAACATTTCCAACAGAAAATTTATAAACCATCTCGCATTTACAGGTATAAGTTCCCTATGACCAGCATTTGATGACAGTATTTTTATGTCATGATTGACTAACTGCACTTCATATAGTCCCCTCTCCCCCTCAAGCCATTACGCCCATATCCATGTGCGTTCTGCCACCGTGGGCCTTGCTCCAGGATAGTCTTGCCAAAACATCAATTTGCTCTTATTATTTGCTTTCTTCCCCTTCTTTTCTCTACTTTTCCTGCTGCTTAGACGTTATATTTGGAACTGGACACATTTATTTCGTCAAATAATATTTATAGTAAGAAGTGACACTGAAATGACGTATCTGGGATCAGGGTTGTTGACTTGGGGAATAATATAGGGTCAAAGGTACTTGAGAGATAGAAGAACATAACAAATCCACTAGCCGACACAACCAGATCAAGATCCTACAATCAAATCATATATTGGGCTAGGATAAGTTATGAAGATTGTGCTAGCTTTTGGCTGACGTGGAAACATCTGATCCTCAGGCTCAAGGTCTGAAAGCCAGGATAAAATCAAAATGTCATTCAAAACTCAATTAAAAATATCCAAAAGGAAAAGAACACTTAAGAAACAAGTCTCTAGCTCCTTGCACTCAGGCAAACAGAAAGAAGAATGAAGGGGGGTCAAAAAGGTAAACGACGGAGTAAATTAACAGCTATGATGGTGCCAATTTACAGTCAGCACTATTTGATTTGTTGGCATGAGCAATAAAAGAGTAACTGAAAAGTCAATACAAAGTAATTTTGAATCTTTAGTAAAACTTTGACTATGGAAGGGTGTTTTGGAAAAAGATTCCATTGGATTGGAATTGAAAGGCTTGATGAAGCATTTAACATTTTGTGCTCTCACATTTTCTTTTAAATATGATACTTAGCATGTTTTTCCTGCTCATCATATGGTGATGCAGCATACACTCAGGACTTTGCAATAGCCAATAATAGAGAAGTAGGTTGCATTTTTTGTTTCTAATCAGATCTTAAATATTTTGGCATCCGTGTTAAAGCTCCCATAGGTAGTGGTGGGCAGTGGGACATGCTGGTTCGTCCCACGGGCTGTCCCGCGCGGACCCAGTGGATTGGCAAGTCAACTCATGGCTCACAGCGGGACCAGTGGGCCGTCTTTGGGCGCTTGTTTTCAAGCCTAAAGATTGATCCAGCGCACTCACTGGTTCAGGAACAACAGGACAGACCATAGCACGAGCTGGCCCACCCGTGTCACTATGTTTTGGTTTTTTATTTTTTTATGTTACGATAGTTTTCAAAGTATTGTTTAAAACTTAAAAACTACATGTAATTAACAAACTAACTATCTAACGATTATAAGAAATGGAAAAAAATAATTTTATTAAGTAAAATTGTATATGTATTGATAGAGGAAAATATCGAAAACATAGAGATTTAATATCATTCGGAGCAAGTTCTATGTCCACGAGTAATAAATAATTGCTCCACGAGTTTTAAACAATACAAGAATAAAAGAAACTATAACAAACTGTAACCACAGTTTGTACAGTAAAAAAAAACTTAATTTGGACGAGCCCACGGGACGGGTCTAAGCCAACCCGCCCACATACGGTCCAAGCTTGCTCAGTGGACTTCATGGATCAAGTGAGCGGTTAGCCCATATGGGCTAGGGTCCAACCCATCCCGAACCTGCGGCCCGCTATTGTAGCGGGTTGAATCTGATCCACTCTGCATCGGGATGAGTTTGGTTGAGCCAAAATGCGGGTTGGTCGAGCCTAAACACCGATTACGAATATGGTTATATAGTGAAATATCTGGATTCGTATATGAAATATCTGAATATAAGTTGATCATACAGTTGCAATTGTTTCAATCTAAGTTGCATGGAAACGGGCACGGGTATTGGTACGGGTGCGGATATATATATATTGAATTAATAATGTACATGAGATAAAAATTTTCCGCTTCATGTGTCATTAGAATTCAAATTCCGATCACATTTTTGAGTTTCTTTTATCATATTGATTATTGTGAATTGTACACTACTCATTTTTTTACTAGACATCTAAACGACCCATTAACTATATAGTTTTAAACTTGGATATGGACTGAAACGAACCCGACCCGTATCTCATTAGTTTCAAAAGACGGATGTGAAGTGTAAGCTCTATGTCTAGGAAGTCTTTGACAAGTGTTTTAAATTAACACATATATCGTATAATTGAGTACATGTTGTAATACATATATGCATATATTCAAGAAGTGTCCATGAAGTTTGGGTACGAGAAAGTGTCGGGTACGTGTCCGGTACGGGGTACGGCTTCATTATAGAAGTACCCGGTAACATAGTTTCAATCCTTAGATTAATGGAATTGAGACTTAATTTGATGATCAAAAGATATAATCTTAGTTTTTCAGATTTAACAAACATATTAATTAACTCTCTTGTCTCATACGAACTATTTTTCAATATTATTTGGTTTTCTCGCATCCGTTTTGTATGTGCATACATATCCACAGTGTTATCGAAGCAGGAGGCGCAATGCGGGGCACAAAGTCTCTTTACGCGTACATGCGCAATGTGCAATGTGATGCGCGTGCCCAAGTGAAGCAATGTGCACACTGAACACATAATTTTTCAAGATAGATAATCAAGCATGAAAGAACATGTTTGTGTATTTTCACATAAAAGCATGTCAAGATAAACAATATCTACTACGAAATCACAAAATAAGGACTTAATTCCTAATGTAACACATCCAACATAGTAGCGAAGTTCATAATTTTCCAAATCAAAAGTCAAATCATAATATTGAAGTAAAACTTAGGGTCCTCAATCCGGTTACTAAAACCATAATGGCTTTACTTTGTTTTTTGAATATGGATTATCGGGTATAAAGACCCGATTGAAATTTTAAAAAATAAAAATATAAGAGGCAATGTCTTGCAGCAAAGGTCATTTGTGAGGCGCAAAATGTGTTGTCGCATCAAATGCAGGGCGCTTCGCCATTGCCTTGCATCACATGGAGCATTGATGCGCAGTGAGGCTCGCACCTTCGATAACACTGGATGTCCGCATGTGTGTCCATATCATATCCGATTTTAACGGATACGAAGAGTTCTCCTTATTGAGACATTTGTATCCATATCCGTATTTGTGATTTGTAAGCGAATATGGGTATCATACCCGAGTCATATCCGAGCCGTTAACACCCCTTGTCCTATTATTGTGGGTGAGTGTTGAGACTGCAATTCGTTGACCATAGTATCCCTATGAATATCCATGCTATCCTCATCATGTCCAACCAACTATTGATGCTATCAATTAGTGAATTAATTTATGCATGAATATACATGTTACCTTCCTCGTGTCCAACCAACTATTGATGTTATCACGTTACGAAAGCTCATCAACTAAGATGTATGTAGTATCATGAGAATAGTAACACTAAATTTTCATACTAGTACACACTAAATAACCGTTTCCTTGAGCATTTTCTTAACATATGGTCATGATGTTTACAGACCAATGTTATTTTCACATCTACATGATGCTGAATTAATTTTGTGCAATTTTCTACTGAAGATATATCATTAAACTACAATAAACTTTTAATTTGGGACACAACTTAATCCTCCAAAATCATTCAAAAGGAATTATGTGACTGCTACAGCACTGTGATAAGGCATCATCACCAAAGAAGGCACCTAGTTTAGACAATTAACCACACTATTTCTTACTAATATGCTTTTTAGACGCTTGATCTCACAAAACATCGCTATGGTCATTTATAGCACTCAGATTTATCCCCAGAATGTCAGTGAACCCAGAAAGAACTTCCCACTGTTGCCATACATGTATACAGTCAACGTGAAATTCAAAAGCACCAATTTAAACCTTTTAGGGTCTGGTATTAACTTCAAGAAAATTCAAGCAAGTCCAGACGAGATCATGTCCTTAAATCTTCTCACAGAAACATTTGTCCCAAGCATCTCTTAAGATGAATAGCTAAACATTTGGGGTAGTAGCAATATGGAAAACTGACTATATGTAACTAAATCTCCTATTTTACTATATCACACTTATATCAACAATGTTGGCACCTTAGGCAAAGCTACTATGAATCAATTAAAAACAGCTGTGACCCAGAGAGGCTGACTCTAAAATAGATCTCCTTGTGATCGGAAATTTTCCTCCTAGAATGTTTAATCAATGGTCAACCTCCTAATAAATGAAAATTAATCAATTTAATAAATGAGATGTCATGTAGCCCTAGATCTTTTCTGTCCTTAAGCCTCGTAACCAATACTGAAGACATTGTGTCTATGAAAATGATGAGCTCCACCTCATGATCAAGCAAGTTGCGCAATATAGATAATGGGAAAACTATAACATCAAACCCACAAATCCAATGTGAAAGAAACTGTAAACTAAGTACATGGTTTGTGTCTCTTCTCCGCCACATAAATCATCAACACTAAAAGAATCCGATTTCAAAAGAAACTTTTTTCTTTGCATGCATATATCTATGTACAACAATGAGATTTGACAGCCGTTATAGTCTGTAAAATAAAGTCGCACTTCTACATAGGATACGTACAGACTGAATAATTAATAAATGTTGAACTTTATTCATATTCCCAGAAAAATTCATCCACAATTACTAATAAAACAACTCACAATTAGTAAAAAAAAATTCACTACTCACCAAATGATTCACAATGTGCGAGCCCGAAGTATGCCCCCTCGAATTACAGAACCACTTTCGGCACGAAGGAATGTTGCACCGAGCAACACAAGCCGGGTTATGAATCCCACAATACCTACACGCGTGCTCAACAAAGCTCCCTTTCCCGTACTCAAAACCCTCATCATCGCCCGTCTCCTCGAAACTCAAGTTCCCAATGCCCGCCATCAGCGGATCGACGTCCGGCGCCGATCTCGCTTTTCCCGAGGACGAAGGGGCAGGGCTCACGTCGGACGGCGGTCGGTCGGAGTGCGGAGGGCGACTGCCGGCGGCGGAGGCCAGGCGGACGAGCGGGGAGCCTGGGAGAGCTCGCGGAACTCGGGGTACCCGCCAAATTCGTCGTCTTCGCCGTCGCCTTGGGTGTTGAACTCGATGAAGGTGTAGGCATCGCCGGCGGTGGTGTCGGGCTGAGACGCGGTCTCGTAGAGGTTTGATTGGGAGTCCATTGCTAGGGTTAGGGTTTGGGATTTGGGGGTTTTTCGGGGTGAGAATTAGGGTTAGGGTTTTTGTTTTCAGATTTGGGAGTTGTTAAAATTGGGGAGGGGAGGAACGAGGGGGGAGAAGAAAAGAGGGAGAGCAGGAGTTAGTTAACCGCGGTCGTACGAACGAGGTTTTTTTTTTTTGTCAGTTTGGCGAGTTAAATATTGTGGTGGGCCATGGGAAGGGATTGAATGGGCCTTGGCCTGTGTCTATTCCAGTTAAATGGGCTGGGGGGAGTATTAATTCCAATTTAAACGGGCTAGTTGGCGGCTTTAGTTTGATGGATATGAACCTATTTAGTGTATTGCTCGTCACTTTTTAACTTGGGGACCGGTTCTTTTCAGCCTGTAAAGTTTATAAAATAACACCCACTAACTAATAAGACATAAAAAGTAACGTCGGTGGTTAATACCTATAAATTTGTATACTTAACCGTTAACACCAACTCCGGTCATCGAAGTTTTAATTTGAGCGGGAAAATTATGAATTTTTTCGTATGTACCCCTCACATCTCTCACACTTACAAAGTTTCCCTCTAAAATTCAAAATATTTAAAAAAAAATCATATCCACCCCCACCCCTCGTCTCCTTCATCTTCCTCTTCTGCCTCTCTCACACCCTCTCCACTTTCCTCCTTCCAAAAATTACTCCATGTCCCCTTTCCTCCTTCCTAACCACCAAAAACCAACCCCCCCACCATCCCACCCCCTCTAAAAATTATATGCTTCGTCTTCCTTTTCTATCATCTCTTACTCAACATTCCTTTTCCTCCTTCCCAAAATCCTCAACCTACCCACCTTCTCTTCCTCATTCTCCATCCACATTCCTCTCCTCAACATCTCTATATTCTCTCATCTTAGTGTTCTCCTTTCCTTCCATCCTCTCCTATCTCCCCTCAAACATTAACTGAAAAGCGGAGAAGGGATGAGGGAAATGTGGGAAGAGGAGATCGAGGTTGAAAGAAGCTGAGAGCTAGGTTTATATACAAATATTTTAATTCGGAAGATAAATCTGTAAGTGTGAAAGATATGAGGGGTAATGTGCAAAAATAAAAAAAAAATCCGCTCAAATCAAAACTTTGGCGACCTTAGGTATAAGCGGTTAGCTGCATCAAATTATAGGTGTTATTGTCACTGGCGTTATTTTTTAAGCCTTTATTGTTTAAAGTGGTATTTTAGCCCTTGTTGAGCTGAATATATATCTAGTGGAGTTAATTTTCTAGAAACCCCTTTAGGGTGTTTTGCACGTATCCCTTAAAACGCTTTTAATCTCACAAAATCTCTCTAAACTTTGAGGTGTCTTTATAAAATTCTCCTGATGTTTAAATTTTTCTCACTAGATCCCCACCTATAACTGTAATTGTAACTGCATACAGAACCAGATACTGTTGGAAGTGAGGGGAGGCTGTCCTTTTTTACTACAAGTTTATGTTAAGATAGTGCATTCCCTACTTATAGTCTCTTTGCAAAACCCCCCCTAAAGAGTTAGAAAACAATGTCAGCTTACGCTGGTCAAAGGAAACAAAAATAGTAAATTTCACTTGAGTAATAAACGTAGCTTATGCCAGTATTATGCATTTAATCCTAAAGTCTCTTAAACCTCTAAAACCGCATTTATTTTACGGGTTTTTCTATAGAGTGCCCAAGGGCACTCTATAAGACAGGAGAGAGATAGAGAGAGGTGAATAGTAAAGGGGTCCACTATTTGTATTTATTTCCATTCCCACTATTCACCTCTCTCTCTATCTCTCTCCTGTCTTATAGAGTGCCCTTGGGCAATCTATAGAAAAACCCTTATTTTAGATATACGCGCATCTCGTGATTCTCATCTCTCAACTAAGATCCAAGAAATCATTAATGGTCGACTCCTATGGGCTTGGGCTTCTATTAATGTCTCTGAGTCTGGAACCACCATTATCAATGCTGCAACAGGTCAACATTTGATCAAGTCAACCCCCAAAAAAGTCTCTCGTCGCTGATGGGCATGAGAAAGTACCAAAATCTTTGCTCCACCAACCAGCTGACCTCACCTTTATGTCAGCAGTAGCCGCAAATTTACAAAAGGGGTAGGATCATTAAATTATATATCTAATTATGTAATTATATACCTAAATTAGAGTTCACCAGCTCTGTGAAGATACTTATGATAAGCTTGAAAGTGATGATAATTAAAAAAAAAAGAAAAAAAGAACTGACTGTTCTTCTAGAAAGATGCAAACATTTTTCAAAGGAAAAAAAAACCTTTAAAATAGGTTGATCCTATAAAACTACTTTTGATTTTCAAATTATACGTTAATCGTCGGTTTTTTATTGCAATAAACCACCTGAAAGTACTTTTCAGTTAAAATTTTTTGTGGAAATTGATCACACTTATAACCTTCATTAAGAATCATCTCTCTAACTTATTACGTATTTGACAACTAATTATTATAGCAAAACCATAAAATCTTAACGTAAAAAGTGAGCCATGTTTAATTGTAACAAAAGAATATTTAATGTGATTTATGTATAAATTAATAATCAAAGGGGATTTATGTAGGATCTCTTCGTTTAAAGGTGGTTTATGTATAATTTAATAATCAAAAGTGATTTATATAGAATAACCCTACTTTAAAGATGGTTTCTACGGGGAAAAAATCCGTAAATAATGGGAGATAGAAAGAAAAAAAAATTCTATATCATAAAGATAGATACTGGTGGCAGAGCCTATCATCTCTTTTGCAATCAAGTTCCATATTAATGGATGCCAACTACCAAAGCCACTTGATGCCATGTTTGGGACTAGATGTTAACAATAAATGTAGATAAATTTAAACACTTGAAAAGAGGATTTATTCATCAACTATCAACAGGAATGGGAACTACATGTTTCGCAATTTATTTGAATTCTGAATATTTTGCTTGAGTTTATACCGATTATACTTTAAAATGCTTGGGAACCGCAGGCGACCCAAATAGTTGAGAGGTTTTAATATGACTTACAAGATCTTGGTTTTAATTACCATATATTAAAAAATAAAAAAGTTGTGCTCATATGCCAAGAGGATATATTACTAGTCAAAAGTAAAATAGCCAGATAATCTAAATACAAGAAGTATATTCCAGATCAGCCTGACGAAGGTAGATGATTAATGTAGAGATTTAAATGTTTGCTTTCTGAGTTTTAGATTACCAAATTTTCATATAAAATATTATTATAAAATTTGTATTTCTAAAAAAAATAAGTACAAATTTTATCAGAAAGGTTACATTCGAGGGGAATGTTTTGAACCATTCAAGGGCAGGTTTTTTATGGTTCGGATGAGTCCATATGAAGATGTTCAGACCAAAGATTTGAATTCTAGGTTAATATCTCAATCAAATTAAGTAAATAAAATTAGAAAAACGTTACCAAAAATAAAAAAGTTGTGCTCATATGTCAAGAGAATATAAAAGTAAAAAAAAGAGGCGGATCACCTACAAAGTCCACAATGGGAATTCACCTCCTATAAAAGTCCAAAAACCTTACCAAAAAAAGTCCTCAAAAGTTCGTTCAAAACCCAAAATAAAAATTCCAACCACCTCAAAGAACTCCACGATAAATAACACACGCCTTCAACCCAACAAAACATTCACCTCTCTCAAAAATGAACATC